AAATGACTGAAAAATACTTAAGAAAATGCCCAACATCCTTAGCCATCAGAGAAATGCAAATCAAAACAACTCTTAGATTCCAACTTACGCCTGGAAGAATGGCCAAGACCAAAAACACTGATGACAACTTATGCAGGAGAGGAGGTGGGGTAAAGAGAATACTTCTACATTGTTGGTGGAAATGCAAGCTGGTACAACCCCTTTGGATATCAGTATGGCGATTTCTCAGAAAATTAGGAAACAACCTTCCTTAAGACCCACTTTTGGGTATATATCCAAAGGATGCTCAATTGTATCACAAGGACATGTGCTCAACTATGTTCATAGCAGCATTGTTTGTCATAGCCAGAACCTGGAAACAACCTAAATGCCCCTCGACCGAAGAATAGATAAGGAAAATGTGGTATATTGACACAATGGAGTACTACATAGAAAAAAAATGACGTTTTGAAATTTGCAGGCAAATGGATGGATCTAGGAAGCATCATATTGAGTGAGGTAACCCAGACTCAGAAAGACCATTATCATATGTACTCACTCATAAGTGGTTTTTAAACATAAAGCAAAGAAAATGAGCCTATAAATCACAATCCCAGAGAACCTAGCCAACAATGAGGGCCCTAAGAGAGACATATATGATCTAATCTACATGGGAAGTAGAAAACAACAAGATTTCCTGAGTAAATTGGAAGCATAAGGACCATGGGAGAGGGTTGAAGGGGAGGGGAGCAGACAAAAATGCATAACTCAATAAAATCAATTAAAAACAGATATAAAAAGAAAACAGTCTGGTTTACACACACACACACCACATAAGACTTCATGGGCATTTAAGCTAGGACATTTTGATTTAATTCTAAATTGTCTTCATTTGCTTAAACAAACATTAAAAGCAAGTCTCTAACCAAAGCTGAACACTGAAGTGTCAAGTGTTCGTTGGTGATTGGGAAGGGCTCCGCACATTCAGAACCTGTTCACCCTGGTCCTGGACTCAGTGCCAGCTCATCAGACTGCTCTGTGCTAAGGTCTCAAGTCAGGTTTGCTGAGAGCCACATCTCAAATGCTAAAGGTACGAAGTGATAGAGGACACTTGAGCCCCTGATCTCTCCCTCCACCTTCAGTGTGTTCACACTCAAGCATATACACTCACATCCCACACTTGACGAAAAAAAAAATGCGTAATGGTGATTGCTAGGTATATTTAACAAACCTGGATTGGCAATACAAAAGCACAGAAACATAATGACAGATGATGGAGATATTTCTTCTTGTTTCTTTCCTCCAAAGTTCCTAGGTTCTACTTTCATGCAACAAATTGTAGAAAGGTTTGTTGGTCAGCGTTTGATTCCTGAAGACGACTCAGTACTGCTCATACGAACTCACCAAGCCTACACGAGCCCACCACAGATTAGCTGGTTATAGGCAAAAAGTCATTCTCGGCTTCACATCAGCACTGAAATGTGTGTACAAATCTGTATCCACACTTGGTCTGCCTTCGTGTATTTGACTTCCAGTTTCATCTCCATGAGTTCGAAGCCTGACACTCGTTTGGGTTTAATGTGCACAATCACCACACAGTTAGTCAAACAGCACTGGCAGAGACAAAACGCATCTTTTTTTTTTTTTTCCTTTCCCAATTAGATAATCACCTGGATACTGTGCCTGCACTCTTACTAGTTAGATGTGGCCCTAGGCACAGCCTGATTGGCTGTGCCCCACCCCCCACCCCCTCACCCCCATGTTTATGATTTGCTGATTAGCTGCCAGCCTTAACACAGGTGTCTTTGCTTTTCCTGATCAGCTGTAGCCCTAGCACAGGCATCTGTGCCAATTTCCCTCCCTGATTAGCGGCACTCCTGAACACACATGCTTTTACTATTCCAGATTAGCAGCATCCAAGAGCATAGCTGCCTGCCCTTTTCCTGACTCGCTGTGACCCAGGGCACAGGTGTGCTGTTGTATGAGCGCATATGTGACCATCCCTGTAATATTGAACCCACGCACATTCCTTTATCTGTATTTTCATGGGTGCTGCTTGACTAACAGAAGGAGAGAGAATAGAGAGAAAGAGATGAGGGAGAAAAAAGACAAAAGAAGGGAGACGGACCACTTTATTCACTATGTAAGAGCACAGATTGTCCCAAATAGTGGAGTAGCAAAGGAAAGGCGAGATTGTTCTCTGGTGAGGTGAATTCTCAGCCTTCACCTGGGGAGAAGTGTGGAGGCACAAAAATGTGGGCCCATTTCCACCTTGTCTGACAGTCAAAGAGTTGGAGATTGCACGTCCCAACTCAGGATGTGATTGCTTGGTTCTCTTTTCCTTCTTTTATTTATTTATTTATTAAAAATTTTCCACCTCCTTCCATTTCCCTCCCACTTCCCCTCCCTCTCCAGTCCTAAGAGAAGTCAGGGTGCCCTGACCTGTGGCAAGCTTTATTTATAAAAATACAAATGAAATATCACTACAGGAGAGTGAGTGGGAAAAATATTCAGTGTTGACCTCTAATCTCCACAATATGCATTCATACACAAACATACATATACACACACAAAAAGAATAACAAATTAAAAACAGAAATAGGACAATTGCACAGATTTGGGTAAAAAAATCTAACATTTCTTCAGGCTATGGACACATTGTGTGGTCCAGAATGACCAATAAAGCTCAGAAAGACACTGAGGGTTTTTTGTTGCTTTGTTTGTTTTTGTAACGACCTAGTAAAGAAGTGGAATGAGCAACTGAATATGGGTTTTGCTAAAATGGAGCACTAAAAACCTTAAGAACAGACTCGTGTGTTTCACAAGCATGCTCACACTCAGCGTCAGGAGAAACAAACAACTAACCCTGCTGGCGCCTTCTGTCAGAATCCCTAATGTAACGTGAGTTGTGCCTCTACTTATTTAATCAAACTGGCGTTAACAATGAACACAGCTAGCTGCTAGACTGATAGTAAAAGCAGACCACGAGTTCAGCCCCTGTGCAACCCTAACCCGAGGAAATGGGAAAGACTGAGGGGGAAGCATTGCCAGACTGATGCCGTAGCCTGATCTTCATCAGCAGATTCTGAGCAACACATTCCCCAGGTACAAACAAACAAAGCTTCCATGGAGAAAGAAAGAGGGTCAAAGCTTTGGCACAGAGCGACAGAGGTGGCCCAGCAGCACTGTGTAGGAGGCATTTCTGTCCCAGAAGGAAGCAGAAGGCTCACTACCTCACACACACACACACACACACACACACACACACACACACACATCAGTGCACCCCATTCAGTCCTTAAGAACGGGGTGGTCTACCATCATCCCTATGAAAATGTCTCTCAGGGCAAGGCTGCTTAGGCCGGTGGGTTTCCAAATAGCAACAGTGAACCTTGTCAGGAAGAAAATACAATTTCTTTTATTCATTCATTTGCTTATTCCTACATGTAGGCAGATTTTGTCTACATGTCTGCACACCACATGCACCCCTGGGACCCACAACGGACAGAAAACGGTGTTGGGTCCCCTGGAACTGTAGTTACAGATGGTTGTGAGTCACCAGGTGGGTGCTGGAAATGGAGCCCAGGTTCTCTGGGACAACAGTCAGTGCTCTTAACCACTTATCTATCTCTCTAGCCCAAAGGAAAAGTAATTCCTTAACAGCCATTAAAAGGTCAGAATTAGGTCAGGAGAAGGGTACACACTTGTAATCTTAGCTGAGGTAGAAGACTGTCATAAATTTGAGGTCATATGGGGCAATAGAGTGTCTCCAAAAAAAAGAAAAGAAATGTTTTAAATTCACAGTTGAAATGCAGCCTATAACAAAAGACAAAATGCAGGACAACAACCAGGTTACTTAAAGTGGCCTTGAGGTCATAGAAGTCACAGCCCTGAGTAGGGAGGTGGCACACACCTTTAATCCCTGCACTTGGGAGGCAGAGGCAGGTGGATCTCTATGAGTTAGAGGCCAGCCTGATATACAGTGTGAGTTCCAGGACAGGCTCCAAAAGCTACAGAGAAACCCTGTCTTGAAACACCAAAACCAACAAAACCAGAAGTCACAGCGCTGGCCCCAGCGAGGATGTCAATCCATCAACTTGAAGGACTACATTGCAACTCCTGCCTAGCTCCCTCCCTCTAATATAATAGATGTAAAGTAACCAAACAGCAAGTAGGATGTTTACAAATGTCTAGAGTCATCCTTGACATCACACTTCCCTAGCAATTTTATATTTAATATCCTTCAATCCACCAACCTCCAGAAGAAATGTCAGTCTCCCAGGATTCAAAAATACAGTTCTGGTCATAGGTTCCTTCCCTTAATTTTCAAGGAGCACCCTGTGCTCAGGAGAAAAATGGAGTCGTTGTGGTGCTCAGGTGTTCCGCTGGCTCACTTGGAACAATTCTCCCCATTTCTCGCGAGCCTTTGGTTGCAAAGGCTCGGTAGCCAAATTGTCCATGTATGCTGTCTGTCCAGCTCTATTGCGTCTGGTCCAGTCCTCCAGCCTTCTCAGAGCCTTGACTGCGACCATACAACCTCACCCCTTATTCTAGGAGGACCCAGTAGCAGCAGGTCCTAGAGAGCACACAGCATTAAGGTCTACTTTCAAACATCTGCCAGATAAACCCATAACAGAAGTGCCGCAGGGTGTGGTTCCTCCTCTTTTATCTACAATAAACTTTATCCACCATACTTAGGAGCAGTCGTATCCTTCCTTTTTATTTCTTTTTTTTTTCTTCATTCAATTGCACGTTCAGAGATTTTATACAGTTATCAAATTTTTCCCACAACCCACACATTCATACGACCGCATAAACAGAATACAGTGTTAGCCCACAGATTGAGAAAGTCGTGAAACTTGCTTAGATTTCTCCTATCAAGGTACCACAACCTGCAGCAACCTGTGGCTGCTCAGCTGCCTCTCCAACTTGCGGTTCCCACTCCCACCCCTGGCCAGTAGCCGAGGGCATCCACTCTGCCGAGCTCCTGGTCAAGGCCACAGACGTGCCATCCTGGAGTGCGCCAGGCACTGCGCTAGCCAGCCCGCGCCCCGATGGGGTCCTTCGGGCCATTGCCGGACAGCCCAGCTCGGGGTCCTGGTGCGGTCGCGTAGCAGCGGCGGAGACGCTGCCGAGCCGCTACAGGAGTGCGTTAGCCTGTTAGCAGGTAAGCCGGCTGCCTTGGTGGCCCAGGGCCTGTTGTGGGCGAGCGCATTGGCGGTGTCCCGGCTCCCTCGAGGCCGAGGCGAGGACTAAGTGCCTGGAAAACCCGCCTGAGAGGCGGGGACCGGGCGGAGGCCCGACCGCGGTTCGCGCATCCTTTACGGGAGATGGTGGTTAGGCCTGGTGGGCGCCTGAAAACGTTTGTCACACGAAAGAGAGTTTACCCCCTAGACCGTGAGGACAGTGGCAGTCACTGAGGGGTTCCGTCGCGAATCGATAGACTAGGGGGTTTGGCTTTCGAACGGATCACTCCCTCTGCAGGATGGAGGTTGAAGGGGCAGAGTCCTCGCTACGCTCTCCTGTAGTCACTGCTGGAGCCTGAGTTCTTGCGTGGGCCGAGGCCGTGTCGAAATACAGTCGTGCAAACGCGGGACCCTGTTGCTGATTTGTATTCCAGACTGGTGTCATGTCCCTCACTGCAGCCAGTTGAGCCTGCTTCATGCTTCAGTGTCTGCTCGAGTTAATGATTAGTGAGGGCGAACTGCTGCTGCTCCGGGGTGTAATTGCTGTGCGCCCAGTTAGCGGAGAATCTGGATTGTGCATCCCAAGCAGTTTGGATATGAAGCGAGTGAACCAGGCTAGAAACGATGCGACACACCGGTGTTGACACTGAATGACAGTAATGTCTTGTACTTGGAAATAGGAATATGATTTTGCACAGAGCTAAAGTACTGTTTATGTTTAGGGTAGGGTTCCTATATGCCCTAGTGTCCTAGTTACAAATCTAATGAGCAGTTAAATATTTGAGTTCAGGCAGTGAAGGACAAAATCTTGATGTAGGTATGGTTTGTTATCATCTACATTTAGAAAACGCTTGAAACTACTTGAGCAGCATTTCTCAACCTGTGGGTCGCGACCCTTTGGAAGGTCAAACGACCTTTTCATAGGAGTCCCTTAAGAATAACGGAAAACACAGGTATTTGCATTATGATTCATAACAGCAAAATTACAGTTATGAAGTAGCAATGGAATAATTTTATGGTTGGGGTCGCCATAACATGAGGGGATATTAAAGGGTCACAGCAATAGGAAGGTTGAGAACGACTGCACTGGAGGTTAAAAATAGCACCTGCAAAAGATAGTCATGAGGAATACCAAGGTGAAGGGAGTGTGAGGCAGCTGCTGATGGCAACAAGGTGGAACGGGAAGGTGGGCCAAGAATATGGGTCAGGCACCACAGATTGTACGGTTAGTGTCCCCTCGTTTTTACCAAATATCCCTTACTGTGTGACTTAGGCACTATTTGTTGTTGTCGCTTGTTGCTTTGTGTTTTCCAAGTAAGGACACTTGTATGTTGATCTTGTAAATCTAGTCTGGAAGGTAAGAGAAGAGGTGTGACCCAAGCACATCTGCAGCAGGAAATGACAGAAGAATCCAGAGGCAGAGCTGCACCATCAGTAGATGGTGGCCAAGTTGTCAGGATGTGTGTCCTTGGGCACTCTGTCAGCTGTTCAGGAAAAAGAAGAAAGTGGATTTTATTGAAGGGAGCTCTCATCTCTAACAGTGGCTTCTCATTGACTTTTCCAGACAGTGATAAGACTCCAAGGCTGGCTCTTGTCTACAGCCAAGAGCTAATGGCAGGGGACAGAGCCAAACATTGTGAGCTGGACCAAGAGAAATACGATGCTCATGACAACGTGAAGATCATCTGCCTGGGGGACAGTGCGGTGGGCAAGTCCAAGTATGATGGGAGATTAGGGAAGAAGAAAGAATCCCAGAATGGCTTAATTAGAAAAGTCCCCCAGAAATGAAGAAGAGTATGGTTTCCCTTAACTGAAGAGGGGGAGCCTTGACTGGGGCCCAAGTGTGTGGGCAAACAGCAGGCTCATGTCTATAGCCGTATTTATGAGGAAATGGGAGAGAGCCAAAGGGTCAGAAATCAGGGAACCTCTGAGTCTTGACAGAAGCTGTAGAGTGGGTCGACCTGGGAATCGCTGGAATAGTCCAGAGTACGGAGGTCGCAAGTGGGATGTTACTACGCGTGTGAGAGTTGAGGGACGGCTAGGGTGGGACAGGGATGGAGAGAAGAACGTGATGGGTAGAATAGAGGCAGTTAAGATGCTTTCTGGGAGGGACTCCCTGAGTTGAAAAGCACAGATAGCAATGGTATTGACTGTGATGGTGTTAAAGACGGGATTATTCTTCTGCCTTTGGTGCCTGCCTGAGCAGGGGTAGAACCCGCCACCTGGAGAGCTGAAGAAAGGCTCTGCGGTCCTTTTTTGGCCCATCTCCATCAGCATCCCACCTCTCACCCATCTAGGGTGAGGTAGCGAGGGTGCATGCCCATTTCTGCCATCAAAGGACGAGAATAGAGTTGTTTCTACATAAATGTCTGGTTTAGTCTTCCACCCCGCCAGATCCCAGATCACCTCATGTTCTACTTCAGACCCGGGTAGCTATAAGGAGTCCCTAGAGACCTTGCTGGTTTTAGGCCAACTTCATGAATTCACATTTGTTTCTCTACCTTATGTTAAAGTTCTGCTGTCATATTTTACAATTGTTTTAACCTCAACAATATCCCCTACAATTAAGGTAAGGATTTGGAAGATTACCCAGTAAATAGCAGTCTTTCGTCCACACTTGAATTTAGAACTGACACAGAAAACCAAAGTGGCAGGCAAGGAAAGACCAGTTGTTGACTTAGCAACTGATGGACCTTTAGGGAAATGTGGGCTAGAGAGAAAGCCCAAGGGGGCCTCCTAAGTCAGTATTAGCCTAACTTAATGTAGTTTTTAAAAAAAATCTAAGTTGTTAACAGAACATCGAAAGACTAACACAGTTCTGGCCTTTAGGGCATTTGAAAGACTAGTAGTTCCCAGCCCCTTTGAGACCTCAAGCAGAGAGAGAGAGACCATGTTAGAATCTGTGTTTAGAAGAAGGTTGGTGAGTGAGAAAACCTCATTTTCATTTCACTGACTCAAGAATTCTCTGCCAGTTTTCAGTATTTCTAAGCCCCAAGGCCCCCTGCCAGGTGATTCTAGACTGCATCATGTTGACATTTGAAATCATTAAAATCTGTTTGTTTTTATTTAAAACTTACATGCACTGTTAAATAAATCATATATATGTATTACATATTATATATACATATATATGATTTTAATATCTTTCTAGAAGATGGGAAGTTTGTTGTTTTGTTCTTTCTTTAGACTTACTGTATGGTCTGATTGGGAGTTTAGTAGTTATAATACCAAGAAGAGTTTTAAAGGCTGTGCTGTGACTCCAAAATGTGCACCAAACTAAGCTTGTTAGCTGTGCTCACATCTATGTGCACTGGGAGATGCCCGTAGATTATAGATTCCCAAACTGCAGTGCCACATCCTCTGAAATCAGCTAGTGTTTCTGTTGGGGTTCTATGCAGGTCAGGGAGAAACAAAAGAGTTCAAACCGGGTGGAACTTCTTACCTCCTACAGAGTCACCTTCCTGCTCAGGTGACATCTAAGCAAAGCCTTAAGGAACGGCAGAGTCTTGAGAAAATGACTACTGATTGAAGAATAGTCTTCTTGGCCTCAGTCTCCCCTGCATAGATGGGTAATTCTGTGTGTAGCAGTATATGAGATGGAAATAAGGGGTCAGAGAGCCCCATGCAGATTGACCCAGAGAGTGGCACCAGTGGCTTGGCTGTTTGGCCTTCGTAATAGTGATTCCCACGGCACAGGCTTGACTAGAAACTGACTGAGAGTTCACAAGAGATAGGAAGCCCCGGGGGTGATAAAGTAGGGACAAGAAGTTAGAGATGCTACATGACCTGTGACCTCACACATTTCCCTTACAGACTCATGGAGAGGTTTCTCATGGATGGATTGTATCCTTAAAGACTTGAATTGTCCTTTGTCCCTGTGGCTTTTCCCACTCTTGTGTATCTTAACCTCCAGTCCACTCCTTTATACCCACAGCCCGGGAAAGATCAATGGTTTTCCTGCACACCAGCTAGCTCCTCACTGGTTGACCCAAACTGCATCATAGAATCCAGGCTGTTGCGTCTAGAGCTAACTTATAGTGGGGTTTCTGCCAGGAAGATAGGAAGAATAGCAGACAGCACTTAGTCTGTATCAAATTCCTGGATGCAAACTTGCCTCCTCCTTAATTCTGACCTTGGGTAAATCATCTCACCCCTTTCCTCAGAGCCTAAAAATGTCTTCGGTAGGAATAAGCTTTATAAAATGTGGGGTGTCGGCTTTTCCTTCATACTGTGAACTGTTGCACTGTACAGATTTGGAGTAAGGAGCCGTAACTGAGAGCTTCTTAAAGTTCCCCAAGTGGACCCCTGAGGGTTGCATGCAATACTGCAGGACCTGTGACTTCTCTCCCCTGACCTTAGCCCTCAAAGGCTGTACCAGATTGTACTCTCAGTCTGTACCAAACCCCACCTAATTGCTTCCTCTTTGCTCAGTAAACTGTCCAGCATATTTCCACTTCAAACGATGCTGTTTTCCAGGTATTTTGTTAGTGTTTTACACACAAGTGAACTTCAGCCTGTAGATAATTTGTCAGCTGCCTGGCTTTGGTGTTTACTGTGGGGCAGTCATGATACTCTAGCCTATAAGAACTCTGTCCACAAAAGACTCCAAGTGTCCACAGTTACATTTTCTTGCATCGTGATACCACTTAAGACAGCTTTTCTATAAAACCCTGCTCCATGTTACCTCATACTGAGGTACCCAGGCCCTTCCTTAAACCTTGTGTCACTAAAGTTGGGTCTGTCTGACTGTAGAGTTCATTCAACTTGAAATCTAAAAAAGGGAGGACAGAGGCAGAAGGATAGCCACAAATTTGAGACCACCCTGAACTACATTGGAAAAACTGTCTCAATAAAAAGGCATGGTGGCCCAGGCCTTTACTCCCAGCACTTGGGAGGCAGAGAGGCAGGCAGATCTCTATGAGTTTGAGGCCAGCCTGGTCTACATAGTGAATTCCAGGTCAGCCAGAGCTACCGAGTGAGACCTGTCTCAAAAAATTAAGAAAAGCTAAGTAAGAAGGGGGCCCATTCTGTCACACAAATGTCCCCTTTCCCCATTTCCTTAGTTCTTTTTATTTACCTTTGCTCCTTAACCTGCATCCAGTCAGCCACAGCAACTGTCCACATATGCTCTGACCCTGTATAAGCACACGGCCACAGTAGACGGCAAGACCATCCTTGTGGGTGAGCAGCATGGGCCCCAGGCCACGCTGAGCAGGGGATGGGGGTGGTAGGAAAGAGGCTCATGGGAGAGTGAAGGAAGAAGAAAAATGGGAAGTCAGAGAGCATGTACGGAGGCACACAGCACATACAGTCTCGTAACACCCAGGCCAGGACGAGTGTGGAAGGCGGGATTTAGAAAAGCAGACATTGGAAGACTGTTCCTGCCAGAGGGAAGAGGAGCACAGAGGCCTTTGACAGGGATTAGCATTCAGCCAGTACCAAGAAATACATCTGTGTTGCTGAGCAGTGGTGGCACACGCCTTTAATCCCAGCACTCAGGAGGCAGAGGCAGGTGGATCTCTGTGAGTTCTAGGCCATCCTGGTCTACAGAGTGAGTGCCAGGACAGGCTCCAAAGCTACAGAGAAATCCTGTTTCAAGAAAGAGAGAAAAAGAAAAAAAGAAATACATCTGTGGCCTGAACACTTCTCAGATGTAGAACATGACCTTCCTGTGGGGTCACTAGGCCACCCCTGAATGTCCACCATCTGGGAATTTCAGTTTTGAAGGGCCCTGTGTCTTCAGTGTGGGGACAAAGGGTACCTCTTTTCTCCCTTCTGGGGCTCCTGTCTGCACTATCCTCCTCTGGTTCCATGTCTTCCTACACCACTAGTGCATACACACCTCTCCCAATGCATGCATGTTTCTGCATAGAGACCTGCATGGAAATGCCTGGGGCATGTGGGGGGAGTCTCTGCCCTCCAAACCCCCAACCCCATCGGGCAGACAGCATTGTGTTCATGTTGCAGACTTCTGGGATACAGCAGGCCAGGAGCGGTTCCAGAGCATGCATGCCTCCTACTACCACAAGGCTCACGCCTGCATCATGGTATGAAACCAGCCATGTGGTAAAAATGGCACTAGGCAATTCTGGCCCAGGGGTAAGGAGCCAAGGAGCTCATCGGTCGTTGGCCCCACTACCAGATATAGATGTGTAGAAGCGGGTTCAAGTCCACCCAAACGCTTCACCCTAGAGCTGCTAAAAAAGAATACGACAGGCGAGCTATCCTAAGATGGGGACAGATAAGAAAAGAAGTTGGGCTCCTGTAACCATTGTAGTGTCCAAGGAAAACATGGCTGAGACAAGGCCATAGCTGGCTACTGATGGAGCACACCCACAGTGAAACTTGAAGAGAACCCCCCACTATCACCACTGCCTCTGAGAACTTTCCCTCTCCCGTCAGCCCTCACCTCCCTCCCAGGCTCTCACTGTGCTACCTAGGATAGTTACCATGGGTCCCCCAATAATGGCTTCAGGTAACAGATGGCACAAAGGTACCCAAAAGTCAGTGTGCACGGGGCTCAAGTGAGATGGAAAATCTGTCTCCTGGGCATTCCTGCCCTGCAGCTCCCAGGCTCATTTTCTAGGCCACCACTCTTACATGCTTTGAAGGAATGTGTTTTTATTTTAAGCCACAGATAAAAGATTCTCATGAATACCATACCAAGCATCTGTGGCATGAGTTGGTTTGGTTTGGATTGGGTTTAATATTAGGAAATACACAAGACTGTGCATATTTAATATGTGTTCTTCCACTGACCTGAACCCCAGCCCCATAGTCTAGTTCTCTGAATTGTGAGCCCTAGGTATTGTCACCAAGTGAGAACACTGTCAGTAAAAGCTGGTGTGGACTTGCTCACAGAATGGCAGCTACACCTCATGGCTGAGTGCCCAAAGAGAACCAGGTAGTAACCATATTGTTTGGTGACAGCTCTGTAAGTCACTCTGGCTCTGTCACAAAGGAAGGAAATAAGGTGCCACATCTCTGATAAGAACCCACGGGGTGGATAAGTTGGCAGCACGGGTGTGAGTCTACCAGAAAATGTTGTTTGCCCTGGCAGTTTATAGCATTTGACGCCACCTAACCCCTGTAGCCCAACTCCTACAATATGCCTACCACTGCTCTCATGAATGGGTACCATCTCATCCATAAGCAGAAGCACAAAGGGGATGCAGAAAGGACTGGTCCGTTCTTCTCAGCATCCCCCATCTGCTCTTCCCTCGGCCTTCTTCAGTTTATACCCATGCAATGGAAATGCTGCTCATGGTTCAGTCTCTGATTAAATGTCATGATCTCCCATCAGCCTTCTCTGCTCTTTCCCGTGTGCTTGCACAGGACTCTTGACTCCTTGTGGCATACAGATTGGTATGAAAGGCCACCTGGAGGGGCTTGCCAGCTGGTAGATGAGGACAGTGAGGGAGGGTCACCAAAGGAACCAATCACCTGTTCCTCCATAGTTCCTTGAGCACAAAAGCCCTTGCTTGGAAACTTAAAAATTCTTAATTCTAATAACCAAGGGTACTAAATAAAAGTGTGAAATAAGGCAAATGGAGCAGTGTAACCCCAGAAGTTAGAGAGAGAGAGAGAGAGAGAGAGAGAGAGAGAGAGAGAAGAGAGAGAAGAGAGAGAGAGGAGAGAGAGAGAGGAGAGAGAGAGGAGAGAGGAACCATTTTAATTTCAGTCCTGCTCTGGCATTTGGTATTTGAGCTTAGCTCTTTTCTGTCTGAGACCGACTTCACCCTATGGTACATGCCCATTGGTTTCTCTGTGGTCCTCTTCTGGAGCTGATCTGAGTTTATATCTACCTATTTGGGGGGGTGTTGTCTGGAACTGATAAAGTACTTTGGCATATCTAAACTGTCTTCTACCCTCTGTAGGTATTTGATGTCCAGAGGAAAATCACTTATAAGAACCTGGGTACCTGGTATGCAGAACTTCGGGAGTTCAGGCCGGAGATCCCATGCATCCTGGTGGCCAATAAAATTGATGGTGGGGCCATCCCTGCACCTGGGTGACAGTAATTTCTGGGGACCCAGCACCACACATTTCCTTCTTTCAAAGAATGGGTAGCTGTCAGTCATTTTTCCTTCCCAAGATATTCCCTTCCCAATGGGGATGCCAGCAGCAAAACCTGCCCTCTCAAGATGCAGATCCCTGTTAACTATTTTGAGGGCAGTCCCTGATTGTCCATTCCCTACTTCCTAGTGCAGAGCCTCCACTGACCCTCCCTCCAAACTCTTCCCTTCCCCTGGGTGGACAGGCCAATGCTCTTCTCTCTGCAGCAGACATACAGATGACTCAAAAGAACTTCAGCTTTGCCAAGAAGTTTTCCTTGCCCCTGTACTTTGTCTCCGCTGCTGATGGAACCAATGTTGTGAAGGTACTGGCAAACCAGAGGCAATCTGCTGAAGTGGCTTACGGGTCCTGGAGTTCCAGGGAGAAGGGAAGGGAAAGGGGGGAAACCAGGACAGTGAGTGGCTAGGTGCAGCGGAGAGGAACGAGGCTGGGAGGACCACATTTGGTGAGACAAAGTCCACTGACTGTGGGATCAGGGTGATGAGAAGGGACAGTGGAGGGGGAGACTGTGGATTATAAAGGTAGGGTTCAGGACCCTGCCCACTGCTGTACTTCTGCCATTTCTGCCTCGCCTTCAGCTCTTCAATGATGCAATTCGATTAGCTGTGGCTTACAAGGAAAGTTCCCAGGACTTCATGGACGAGGTTTTACAGGAGCTTGAGGTAAGTCAGGCCCAGTTTCTGGTACGATAGAAAAAGTAGATGATGTCTTCAGAGATATAAACTATAACCCAGCATACGGGGTTTTGCCTGCTTTGCCACCCCTAAATGCTTTAGAACCACAATTGCACAAATGCAGGGACAGGCATCACCTATGACCTTGTCCACAGAACTTTAAACTGGAACAGAAAGAGGAGGACGCGCCAGACAGAGAGCAGAGTGACGTGATCAAGAGCCCATCTCCTCCTTAGTCAAGAGGACACCCACACATGGCTGAGCTGGGGTGCTGGACGCCATTTGGAATATCCAATATCTCTGGAGAACCTCTCCAGGCTGCCCCTGCTCAGCTTCCTGCAAATCCACTGCTCTGTGGTCCATGACGAGGTCAACACAAACACACTAGACAGGCATGATATCCCCCACCACCTTCCTGCAGCAGGGTGAGGGATCCATGTCTTTGACATCTCTCCACCCTACCAGCAGCCTGGCAGTGTAGAATCAGTGAACACACTCATGTCTTCTTACTAGACACTTAAGTTTGTCGTCCTTCATCCCAAACTGACCTCAGGGACTCTCTTTGCACTCCTGCGGACAGAATGTGTCCTACAGAATCTGTGACACCTCTGTGTGTTTTCCCTCTGAGTTTCCCAACCAACTTTTTCAACATTATTCTGGACAGACAACTGTTAATTCCAGGTTTTTAGTGCTGTTTCAGGAGCTCTTGGTCGGGTGGGGAGCACAGGAGCAGGGCTACTGCAGTCACGTGACCGCATGGCAAGTCTGGCCATGTCTAGTCACACACACATTACTGTTCCCCGCCACATGGACATCTCAGGGTAGAGAGCACTCCTCCACTTGTCCAGAGCAGGTTAAACACTCATCTTCTGTGGATGGCAGAGGAAGAGCTGCCCTGCATCTGCAGCTTGTTAGTTTGCTCTTATGACTGTCTTGAGCATCGTTTGCATTGTCTTTATTATTTTGTTTGTATTGTTTCCTTTTTTACAATAAAGATTACATTTCATAAACATTAAGTGTATTAGTTACTTTCTGTTGCCATGACACAACACCATGACCATGACTTACAGAAAAAAGCATTTAAGGGGGTCCCACAGTTTCAGAAGGTGAGCCCAGGCCCATTGTGCTGGGGAGCATAGCAGCCGGCAGGAATAGCATGGAGTTGAAGCAGTAGCTGAGGTTTGCATTTGATCCACAAGCACAGGGCAGAGAGAATCAATGGGAATGGGGAATGGCATGGTTGGTTGAAACCCATCCCCAGTGAGACACCTTCAACAAGGCCACACCTCCTAACCCCTCCTAGCAGTTCCACCAACTGGGAACCAAGCATTCAAACATGGACTAATGGGAGCCATTCTCATTCAGACCACCACACTAAGTATCTGTACTTTATGATCTGGAATATGCAAAGAAAACATCTTCCTCCAACCTGGTAGAGGAAGACTGCCTTGATCTGCTACCATGCTGGAGTCCAAATTAACTCTTTTAGGGTTTTTTTTCTTCTGTTTTTTGTTTGTTTGTTTGTTTGTTTTTCGAGACAGGGTTTCTCTGTGTAGCTTTGATGCCTGTCCTGGAACTAGCTCTTGTAGACCAGGCTGGCCTCAAGCTCACAGAGATCCAAGTGCTAGGATTAAAGATGTGTACCACCACCACTTTGCTCCATATTAACTCTTAATTGACTACAGGAGACCATTTCAGTGGAATTTATTGTTTGTGGGGTTTTTTAATTAAATATTGATTTGAGAGCTCAGCCAACAAGTGTGTTTTCCCCTTAAAGCGATAATCCCATGTTCAACTTGGACTTCTGATCAGGAATTTTCAGGAATTCATGGCTCAGACAAGGTAAGATTTCTAGAACAAAAATAAAAGCTTGTTGCTGGGCTGGGCGTGGTGGAACATACCTCTAATTCCAGCACTCAGGAGGCAGAAACAGGTAGATCTCTGAGTTCAAATCCAGCCTGGTCTACATAGTTAATTCCAGTCTTTCCAGAGCTGTAGAGTGAAACTCTATCTAAAAAGAAAAAAAAAATGGTTATTGTAAATGGTTAATAGACTGTGTGTGTGTGTGTGTGTGTGTATTGCATACATGTGTGTTCCAATTTTGGGCATTGAACCCAGGACCTCATAAAAGTGCTCTGCCACAAAGTACATTCTATACCAGTAAGTATTTCTTTTATGTAAATAGCTTTATTGAGATATACTTTATGTACTAAAAAATGTACCAGTATTTACTCCACATAGCTGTCTGTCTTGTAGGAGGTTTCCTCAAAGCAGGGCCTGAGGAAACAATTTTTAGATGGCTACTGGGGCTGCTTTCTCAGATGACAGGGGGACAGAGAGTGAGGTGACAGACTAAGCAAGGTTTCATCTCAGCTGGAGGCCAGCTTTACTACTACCTCCAATCCCAGTGAAACTCTGAAGGACAAACTGTCCCAGATTGGTCCTGCGTGCAGACCAGAGGACTGTCAGAAAATGCATGAGGCAGAGGAGACAGCTTGTACCCTCCAGGGCAAGCTGAAGCTCTGCTTCATCTCAGATACTTCTCCGGGGAAAGGGGAACTGCATTTCTCCATTAGCACTAGTGTTGGGGTAAGGGGACTCATAAGATAGCAACCACTACACAATAGCTGTCAGTAGACCACGACTTAGTAAGTTTTAGGGGGTCCATTGTCATGCTTTATGATTTAGCTGGTTTTGGAGGAACCAAATTAAATAGACTAAATAGGATGTTATGTCTGAGATAAAATTCACATGGCTGATCATTCCATGCGTTTCATGCCAATTCTGTGTGGTTCCATCACAATAAGAAATCCTTATTAATGATAAATCTGTTCTGTCTCTGTGGATTTACTAATTCTGAATATTTCATATAAGTGAAAACATACAATGTGTGACTTTTTGTATCTAATTTCTTCCACTTTCAAAGACTGATGCGGAGGGGGGCATAGTGTTGTGCCTTTAATCCCAGCACTTGGGAGGCAGAAACCAGCCTACATAGTGAGTCCCAGGACAGCCAGGGCTACATAGAGAGACCCTGGAGAGAGAGAGACAGAGACAGAGACCATGGAGGCAGGGCGGGGGCTCATCCATACATCATGTACTTTGTTTCTTTTATGGCTGGGTCATGTTCATTGAGGTAAATATCTGAGCTGTTTGCAACTTTTATCTATTGAAAATACAAGGAGCCAGGTGTGGTGGGACACATCTTTAATCCTAGCATTCAAGAGTCAGAAGCAAGCAGATGACTGAATGATCAAGGCCAGGCTGGTTCACATAGAGAGTTCCAGGATAGCCATGGCTATACAGTGAGCCCTTGTCTCAAAACTTAAAAATTGCAAATTTTACCACAAGTAGATTAGTATAATCTTAGGAATTTTAGTAAACTATTATTATCAAATATATATCACCCTTAAGTCCCATCCTCCACAGCCCTTGTATAATTTATTCAGATCTCCTATGACTTGGCTTTAAACTTTAATAGGTTTAGTCCTTTATGTGGTTTGAATGAAAATGGCCCCCATAGGCTCATGTATGAAAGCTTCGTTCCTACTTGGTAGAACTATTTGGAAAAGGTTAGGTGGTGTGGTCTCGTTAGAGGAGATGTGTCATTGGAGGTGGGTCTTGAGATTTCAAAAACTCAGTCACCTCTCTCTTTGGCTGAGAAGGATATAAGCTCTCAGTTATTGGTCCAACACCATGTCTGCCTGCCTGCTGTCATGCTCCCCACCACGATGGTCATGACCTCACTGTTACTGTTGCTATGATGAAACACCATGACCAAAGGAACTTGGGGAGGAAAGGTTTATTTGGATTATGCTTCCACATCACCGTTCATCAATGAAGGAAGTCAAGAAGGGCAGGAACCTGGAGGCAGGAGCTGATGCAGAAATGATGGAGGGGTGCTGATTGATGACTTGCTCCTCATGACTTGCTTATAGAACCCAGAACCATCCACCCGGGGACGGCCCCACCCACAATGGGCTAGACTCTCCTCCTTGGATCACTAAGAAAGTACCTGATTACAGGATCTTATGGAGGCATTTTCTCAATTGAGGTTTCCTCCTTTCAGACTCTAGCTTGTGTCAAGTTGACATAAGACTAGTCATCACACTCACCTCTGAAACTGTAGACAATAAAGTCTTTTTCTAGACACCATGCCTTAGTCATGGTGTCTCTTCATAGCAGTAAAAGAGTAAGTCTTCACCTTTTATTTTTCATTCCAAGGACAAAAATCTTGTTTTATAACATAAAATCTATCCTACTCTAAAATATCTCTTTTTAACACTTTTTACCAAAAATATTAACTCATACTTACATCCTTCTCAATAATTCCCTCATACACATTTACTATTTCTTCTTCTAAATAAGAATCAAATTCAAATAACACACATGGCCCATTATAGCGAATTAAGATTACCTATACCCATACTTTTAGTTACCAAGATTTTTTTTTCCTGTTGCAAGTCTCAAGCAAACTTTTTCTCCCCTTGGACTTTCATGTCTTTTTTTGTCTCCCTGTGGTTAGAAAACAAACAAACAAACAAACAATTTAACAAGAGCCTTGGGCACATGATCAAAATGACCTGGAGGTGAGGGAAAAGTCCCTGCAAACAAGGCAGAAAGGAAAGCATAGACAGAGCCAAAACTCTCCATGTTAGTCCTGGAATTGCAGTTTGAGAGGACAAACAGCATTGATGTCTTTTAATCCTTTGCAAAAGTCAGGCAGGACATTACTTCTTGTTTTTTTAAGCTGGGGCATTCCCTCCTGAAATGACCTATCTCCTTACATTTCCTACGTTTGTAGCATTGTTTCTGCTCCTAGAATCTTCTGTCTTTTCAAACCCCAATCTTTTATAACTTTTTACTGTGTTTGGCCAGCTGTTCATTACAAACTGTAACTTTACCATCCCATGTCCCAATTGTTCTTTTCTATTTAATCCCAAATACTTTACCCCCCCCCCTCTCTCTCCCTCCCTCCCTCCCTCCCTCCCTTTTGTTTCTCAAGGCAGGGTCTCTCTGTAACTTTGGAGCCTCTCCTGGAACTAGCTCTTGTAGACCAGGCTGGCCTCGAACTCACAGAGATCCACCTGCCTCTGCCTCCCAAGTGCTGGGATTAAAGGCATGCACCACCACCGCCTGGCTTCTCAAATACTTCTTTATCTGATCCTTTAGCTTTCCTATAAATACTATAGACCATTCTTCTTTTCCTTACTGCATATTAAAGGCTTTATCCATAGTCTAAGACTGGAAAACAGGAATACTGATTTTCCAATCCCTCGTATAGTCAAGTTTCAAAGATCCCTGTGTGACCTCAATGAATCTCACTGGTATTATTCCAGGTGTGTTGATGAATGTCACTGGTGTTATTCCACATGTGTTGTTGGTTATTGTTTTTGTTTTTTTTAATCTCTTGTCATCACACCATACCCAGCCATAGGACTCCTTTTTTATTGTTAATTTTGGTAGGGTTTTTTGTTTGGGGTTTCCTTTTCTTTAAACTTATGTGTATGAGTTTTTGTCAGCATGTATATCTGTGTGCCACGTGGGTTTGGTACCCTTAGAGTCAGAAGAGGAGGCCAGAGCCCCTGGAACTGAAATTCACAAGTGGTTTTGAGCCCCCATGTGAGTGCTGGGGACCAGCAGGCCATCTGCAAGAGCAACAGGGCCTTTTACTACTGAGCCATTTCCCCAACCCCAAAAAAGCTTGTGACCTCCACATGAGCAGGAACCGTGTCTTTTTAATTTTTATGTGTGTTTTGCCTGCACGTTTGTATGTGTAAACAGTCCTTATCATCCCTTCTGTTCAACAAAGAAGACAATACTCAATATTGACATTAACTCAGTCCAGATATAAAGTTGGGGCCCACGGTATTGGTCCAATTGACCAGACATCACATATGGGTGTTCTAGCAAAGACATTAGCTCCCTTTATGAATTTAAGGCCTCTGAACTGGGAAGGGGGATGCTGACAATACTGTCCTTTCCCCACCCAAAATGTTGCTAGATGGAGGGGATTCCTTTGCTGAAAAGGGAAGATTTGGGGTATCCTTGTGTCGTTGCTCAAGATTCATTCTTAATCTAGAGATGGAGGAATAAAGAGAACCTGATACTAGAGCTGGCAGTTCAGAACTGGGACTCCAAGCACAGATGAAAACAGAGGTGATCAAGAGGACCCCTTAGAAGGTGGGCTCTCTCTTCTCTTGTTTACTTTATTGCTATTGCTTCAGAGAAAAGAGGGCCCCAGGTCCCTTTCTCCAGCAAAGAGCATAATCACCTCCCCCACACTCTTGGCCTTCTATTAACATATTCTGTAAGCTCACCTACCTAGTGTCCTGGCTAAGTTTTGTCCACTTGATACAAAGCTATGTATACTGAGAAGCGGGAATCTTATGGAAATGCTTTCATAAGATTGCTCTATAGGCAAGCGTATATGGTACTGTCTTAATGATTGATGTGGAAGGACCCAGATCACTGTGGGTGGGTCAATCCCTGGACTGGTGGTCCTGGGAGGTATAAGAAAGCAGGCCAAGTAAGCCATGATGAGCAAGTCAGTAAGCAGCACTCCTCCATGGCCTCTGTCTCAGCTCCTCCCTCCAGGTTCCTGCCCTGCTTTAGTTCTGCTCCGACTTCCCTCAATGATGACGTATAAACCTGAGAACTATCAGCTAAAATAAACCCTTTCCTCCCCAGGTTGCTTTTGGTCGTGTTTTATCACAGCAATGGAAACCCTAAGACACCCAGTCTTAAGCTGTTGTTTATGTCCCCCTTTTGTTCTCACGGATACTGAAGCAAGCGCTTTAGAAGACATTTGATTCTTATCGGTCTCAGATCTTTTGTCCTTCTGCTTACCCAAAGAGGGAGTCGGGTTTCCCATCCTTATCTTGTACCATAATGTCTTGATCAGAGGCTCAGCTGCCTCTCTTCTCCTGTCATGAAGACCGCTGAAAAACATCAGAGTTTGTGTGGACACCTCATTTCACCTGAGCTCCACGCAAACTGCTTTTCCCTCACAGGAAGCTGGAGCTGCAGATTGGGAGTCCACACCTGCCTCCCACTGGAGTGAACATTTCTGTCACACTCAGACAACCCCCAGGGTGTCCACCCACCAAAGCAGTATTGACACATCCAGGTTTTGTTGTTTTTCTTCTTCTTCTCAAAGTTCACCCTAATGGACTAAATGGGGAATGCCAGACAAGGCCAGACAAGCAATATTCATCTCCACTGTTCCCAACGCCTCCCTGGAGCTCCTCAAACCCCTGCACTGGAGCGTTCCTGTGCTCCCCTGAACCTTTAGTTTTCTACTTTGAAGGAGTCTGTGACTGACATTTCAGCCACTTTCACCCTCAAAAAAAAAAAAAATGCCCAACCACATGACACATGACAGTACTCTATAGTCCAATTTTCTTACCTTGGTTTGTGCGTGGAAAGTTGCCTGGTTGTCATGCTCATTTGAGGCCCTTATCTCGACAATGCCGATTTATTTTCCAATTTTGGTTTCCATTAGTTCAGGATCTTGGTAATATGTCCATATCCAGGGCCACTGCAATAAGGTAGCAGGATGCACCTCCCAGAATGGGAATCAGTTCCCAGGACCTTTGGTCACAGAGAAAGAGCCTCTCACATTGGGTGCCAGGCTTTTAGAAATAGGACTGGGGGTCCCAAGAAAGTGACCATACAGCCAGAAGTGTGTCAGCGGGGTGAAAAGCTTCACTTATGCACACAGGCTCATGGCCATGTCAAATCAAGCGGGCAAGCGCACCCAGCAGAAGTCCTATCGGGTTTTTATTAATATAAAGGGGTCGGAGTATGGCCTCACACTCCTACTAATTCCAAACGGCACAGCTGAAAAGCAAAGTACAATATTAAGCATATTGTGATTTCAAGAGGTGTTGCCTCTCTCTGCCCTGCCATCTTTAGTAACACAAGCAGTTAGTCCAAACACCGGATTTGATTCTTGACCAGAGTGAACCGCAGAAGAGAGCCCACCAGGACTTACTTCCCAGGACTTTGCAAACAAATGTGATCTGGCTGAAGGCCGATCCCAGTTTCAAGTTGCATGGGACAAGTTTGACGCCTAGTCTGAGCATCCAATAGTCACTCTGAGGAAACGTCAGCCCTTGTCCAAGCCTTGCTGGGCTCTCTGATCCTTAAGCAGGCTTCTGGCCCTTGTTTTTTGGTTCTGCATATCTTCACTAAAAAGATCCAAACTGGTTTCTGTCCCTTACCATGGATATTCTTAAGCATCAAATGATGGTAAGAAAGACATTCCATAAGATACCCCTGCTCCCACTGTCATTCCCAGAGAGCGTTAGTGGGTAAGTTCTTATATGTCTGAATTCAGGAACTAACAGATTTAGTTACAGGCCAGTAATAACCCCAGACAGGTGCTATTCGGCCAGTACAAGGAAGACTGTTTGGTGGTAGACACTGGTTTCGGCTGCCAAGCAACCTTGCCATCCCTTGTGCCTCTGAGGAGCCTGGCCTTTCACACAGAGGCATCTCTGTGGGCCAGTCTCGTGGTAGCATTAAAAGAACATGGCCTCCTAGTGGGAGCCTGTCTTTTCTTTTTGGTTGCTGCAGCTGGTAGAGCTTCTCCATCACCCCCCCCCCCAGTTATATAAACAGTCATATAATGCCTGCCAGCATCAAGGAGTATGGAATAAGGACCATGCTTTGGCCTATGGCCTAAATTTGTCTTATTCAAGCGTTAAAAATCAACGTTAAAAAAACCAATATGAATGTGTGAGCAATTGCATTTTATTGGAGGATGGGGGAGGGAGGGGATAAATTTGATGGAGGGGGATTTGGGTGGAGTTCGGGAAAGCAGAAGTTCAGAAAGCATGTCCTCATGTATATAAATATTTTTAATATAAATATATGTTTTATTTCGTTTCTCTTTTCTCAGGGCTCATTGATTTGTTGACAAAAGGCTCAGCTGCGGAGCCTTGGTGGTGGTAGTTCATTAGTCCGTGGTACCGTGAGGAATCAGGCACAGGGTAAGTCCTCATCTTCAGGGCCTCTATGAGATTCTGTACACGCTGGGCGAAAGAAAGTGTTGTGCGGCGTCTCGTGCGATGTGAACCAAGCGTAAAGGGTACGGGTTGGAGTGGGGTTGGGGGTGGCGGTAGGGGTGCGAATGGGGACTGGGCCTGGCCTGGAGACGGTCGGTGTGGCAGAGGCCGCGGTGGTCGTGGGCGAGGTGGTCGAGGTGGGATGTTTTGGAAATACCAAGAAGGAGAGGGGTGGAAAGGGACCGCCGGTGGTGGTCGAGTAGTAGGCGGCGGAGGGGTGGCTGGCTGAATCAAGTGCAAGGCATTAGGGCCGATCTTGGAGGCAATCCAATCCAGGTATTCCCAGGTGGCTGTGTAGACTCCAGGACGCTTAGCACGGGCACAGCCTACCCCCCAGCTCGTGATCCCCACGACCACAAAGGGGCTGTCGACGTTGTCTCTGCACATGAGAGGCCCACCACTGTCCCCCTGTCCAGAAGGACAGAGGGGTCACTTTCAGCCTGAGCCACTCTCCCTTCCCAGAAGGGTCATGGGGCTGTGGGAGAACAATGTCTGTAACCACATTATTTCCTGCTGCCTTCAATACAGTTGGTAAAGTCGGAGCTACCAATATCCATTGGGATATGAAGGGCAGGGGGATGGTCCTGAGATGCCCTGCAATAAGATGAGCTCACATGTACATGCATGTGGCTTTACCTGCATCCATAAACACTGTGGCTCTGGGTTTTGTGTGCTCTGGGGAAGAGGAAAACACTATCTTCCAGTGTATTCTGTGTACTAATGTTGGGATTAAAAGTGTGATAATTGGTTCTCAGTAGGGACAGATCGTCCCCATACTAGTTGTGATGGTGGATGTCACTAAAGTGGGCTCTTGGGTGGAGAACAGGGACCTAAAATGAGGCTTTCTCGGAGGCTAGGCTCCCTAGAGGGACCCGGGGGGTCTGGGCACCAGAAGGAAGTTACCTGGCAGGTGTCAATCTTGCCTTCAGGATACCCTGCACACACATTAGTTGATGTGACACGCCCATTGTACCACTGGGTTGAGTTACACAGGTCGAGGTCAATGAGATCCACGCGTGCCTCCATCAGGACAGGCGATGGCCTGGGGGCTGCAGCCAGGCCACACAGCGGGTCAGTGCTCAAGGAGGAGACGAAGAAAGCCCCGCCTCCTCCCCCCACACTGAACTTCCATCTGTCCTGTGTCCTGCTGTGGCTCAACAAAGATCCCTCAGGCTCACCTCGCACTCAAAGGGAGGAAATGCACAGTGAAAGGGCAGGTGGGGGCCCAAGTAAAAGGAGTTTGCCTGAACGAAGAAAGGAAGGGTAGATGAGGCCTAGATCAATGATGAATGAGGGACCGTGGAAGTCAGTTGTAGCCGTAATGGGCACAACTAGTATATGCAAACCACTGTCCATGGTCCTATTACTCCCACTTTGGGTGAGGGAATGGAGCACCACCCACACACGTCAAGCGTTTGGCCAGGATTGCCCCTCTCCACACCCATGCCTGAGACACACCTTTCATTCTCCACTGTATGGCTAGAAGTCACCCTCCCTGTTTTTTATCCTCCATTAGGGCTCCTCCACCCAGCTTCAGACGGGATCCTCCCATGTGTCTCAGATCTGCTTTGAGGAGATTTTTGGAAGAGGAGAGCTGAGTCAGCGCCTCATTCACTACCACAGACCCTATCATGGGGGTTAGGAAAGACAGTTACACTTCAACTCATGCAACCAGCATGCATCTGACTTAGACACATCCTCGGCAGCAGCACAGCTCTGCCCCTTCATCACAAGCAGCCAGGGTCCTTAACAGCGGCACCTCGGATAGCACCCTCCCAAGGCAGTGTGGGTTTGAATGTCATGGGCAGCACAGATATGGAACACCCTGACGCAAGACAGGCACGAAAGACAACATGTGAGTGCAGGTGGTAAGACAGGAAATGCATGGCATCCTTATATGCAGGGCTAAACACTCAGTAGGCAGGCAGTAGGTATCTGCTCAATACATGTTTCCTGGGCTTTGGGTATTTAAGGATTTGGGAGGGGGGTATTTCATTTTCTGTTTTCAATAAAACTTCCACCTTTCCTCACATCCAAGCATCAGTGAGAAGTTTGTACAAAGTACTGCTCCTGAGGTAGGAATGACTGAAAAACAACAACAACCTTAACCTGCTAGCCATTAAGGTAACTTTTTAGATCTATGGCTGAGGCCAGAGTCTTGAAAGTCATGGACCTCACTGTGAAAAGCCAGGTGTTCTGAAACAGAATGTTCTCAGTACCAGACAATATAAATAAAAGGCCTATAAGAACTCAAAATCCCAGGGAAAAGAACAATACCTAGGTAGCTCGTCCAGCCCCAGAACAGAGGCAGAGCCAAGCATATACACATACAGGTCATGGGAGTTTGAAGCCTGGGGATTTTTTAAAGACCGAGGCCTTTATAGGAGATACTTGCTTGCAAGACAAAAACGAGAGACACCCCCACTGACTGAGGGGATTCTAGGACCGGAGACCAGCTACCCAAGGACCACAAGAACACAAAGCACACATATGACCAAAGGGCAGCTACAACAGGGCTGAACAACGTGTGTCCTCATGCTTAGGCAGAGCCACAGGCACCAGCAGATCAGAGAGCTACAGTCACGTGCCAACAAAGGCCCTGAACTAAAGTAGCTAGGGGGAAGGTCCCCTTCCCTGAAGGACAGGACAGGGAGTAACCCTCTAAAACAGTGGTTCTCAACCATCCTAACACTGCAACCGTTTAATACAGTCTCTGCATGTTTGGGATGACCCCCCCAGCCATAAAATTATTTCATTGCTACTTCATAATTTTGGCTACTCTTGTGAATCATAATGTAAATATTCTCAGAGACAGAGGTCTGTCTGTCAGAGGGGTCGTGACCCACGGGTTGAGAACCACTGCTTTAGAAAATGAGAACGCCTTAGGAAAAGAGAGTAAAAGCAAGGACAACGGGAACTCCAAACTTTAAAAAAAAAAAGGCTGAGTTGTACATCCCAAATGACTCAGCTGCCTCAGATTAGAAAACCTAATCTTTCCAAGATCAAAGAAGAAATGATGGCTCAGCACATTTCAGTCACATTTCCACAACCCTAATGTGACAATAAAAATCTATACAACCACTTATGAGAAGCTGAAAGCACTGCCCATGAGCAAGAGAAATGTTCTGATTGGTCTTGTCCCATTGACAATGCCCTGCTGCCTGTGTTGTGACTTTAGGGTGTGCCATTGTACTCCTGGTACCAACAGTGGCCCTAGACTTTAAGGATGTGGGAGGTTGTCTGGGACTCAGGCTATAACTCTGGAGTCATTAATGACTCTAGAACATTTCCTGTACCCCTGTCAGCTTGTCTACTACAGAAGGCATTCCTCTACTCACCTGGTGTCATGTGGGCCAGGTAACATTGGTGCATGAAAAGGTCTGAGCCAGGGAAAAGGCAAACACTTTGAATAAGGACAGAGGGCTAGAAAGGCAGCTATACACATCTTGAATGACAAGCGATGTGCTGGACGAAGCCAAGAGCCTTGAACTAACAACCCAAAGAAACCGCCTACATCCTTCCCAGTCTACATAGACAGCATTAAGTAACTTGGAAGAAAATGGTGAGTCATGGTGCTATGACTATCCAAGGAAAAATGCCTAGGTACTTGCTGATGGTGGCGAACTGATGCATCCTGGACCACAGAAGTTGGAGATGCCCAACTCCAGATGCCAGCCCTTCCAGGCAAAAGTGAGGAAAACACCATAGCAGCAAAGCCATCTCCAGAGCAAATATTGCTTCAGTTTAAGTTTCCAATGCTCAGAGTCTAGCGGTTAGGCCTCCGGCTGATATATGCACACAGCTTTGCTACACTAAAAAGTATGCCAAGGGTCTAATTGTACCTGCCATTCAGCCTTCCCATAGGTAGGCTATTGCCAGTCATGCCCTCTGACAATTGGGACACCATGACCTTTGACACTGGACTCAGCTTCTCTCATGCTGAATTCTCCAGTTATGAAAGGGCCTGTGGTAGGTTCTAGTCATGCTTCCACGAGGAGAACTGAAACAGCTCAGCCACACATCAATACATGACCCCTGCCACGAAAAGGCTGCACGGAGAATGGGCACCAGCGCCCACCAAAGAGCCCCCACCTATACTCACCCTTCTCTTTCATGTATCCCCACCCAGTCACGTAGCAGGTCTGGGGAATTTTGGGAGGACCAGCCTTAAAATGAGGTAGGCAGCTGGGCCCGATGAAGCTCCCACACACAACCGGAGGAGTGATCTTCAAGAGAGCAATGTCGTTGCCCTCAGTCACGACGTTGTACTTTTCATGGATGATAATCTTCTGCACATATCTCTCCTGCAGAGGCTCTTTCACTGGCTTGTTTCTTCCATATTCAATTTCCTGGGCTCCAAAAACCAGTCTCCAGTCATAGACTTTTCTGTGGGCACAAAGGTAAGCCCGTCGTTCTCATTTACAGATTGGCTGGACAAAAGCCTGTGGCGAGAGTGGCCCTCAGAGCCCTGTCAGGATCTGGTTACCACAGAGACCCTGGGCACAGCCCCTGGGGCGAGTCCCTTTCCACTAGAAGCACTCTGGAGACCTCCCTCTTTGAGTCCCACACGTACTTTTTGTTATCGAAGCAGTGAGCCGCTGTAAGCACCCAGTAGGAGTTCAGCAGGCTGCCTCCACAGGCGTGGTACCTGCGGCTGTTATGGGACATGAAGATCTGTAGGCTGACCATCCAGGGCCAGGCCCCACGCTGCGCAGTCTGCCCTCCGACAATCCGGATACCTGCTTGTGAGTTCTGCCTGAATCGTAACCCACAGGGGCCACTGAGGAGAGACCAGGACACTGCTCAAACCAAGAAGAGGCATCCAGTCTTTGTACCTCACCTGGGGGGAGGCAGGGACATAGGGTTGGGAAACATGGGGAGGAACTTTGGGGAAAGACTGGCAATCAAGTGTGGGTATGCAGGAGGCCTCAGTCTCCAGGAAATATCTATACGGTTCCTGGAGGTATTGAGGGATCCCTGGATATAACAGAAGTCAAAAGTGCTACAGAGGCAGAGGGGTGTGGTGGTCTTCAGGACCAGTCTTGGATGGGAGACTCAAGCAAGCGTCACATGATTAAGGAGGTCTCGGGGCTGTACCACCTGGACAAAGGAGCTGCAAGCTGATGCAACTGGCTCACAAGCATTGGGGTCACACTAGAAACAGTGAGACTCCTGAGTGGGAAATGATATGAGCTGTCACAGTGGAAAGGCTACCAACAGTTTTGGAGCTGCTTGCTTTGTGGGTCCATTAGGAGTGTCTCCAGGCCGATAGCAGCGTAAAGGCAACGATGCCTCTGAATTCATGCCCGGGGGTTTACCTCAGCTGTCCATCCTAAAGTTTAGGACCCGATGCTTGAGAGGCAATGAAGCCAGTCACGGGAGAAGCAGTGGGGAGAGAGCTAGTGATGAGGGATCTCCTTCTCTGGGAAACCATGGGCAGCTAGAAACCTAATGCTTCTGGGATCATGGTTCCGGAAGCAGGAAGGGTCTGAGTTGGGACTGCGGGTCACAGGAACTGTGAGACTATCCAGAGCCTGCTACAGCTCAGCTTACTATTCATCCCAGCCCTGGACAAAGGGAGCCTAGGTAGGACCTGATATTCATAAAATGTCCTTAACCCCACCAAGGTGCCCCTGACACTTACTCACACGTGGAGTTATCTCTGGCAACCACGGACACTGCCAAGACCAGGGCAACGACAGTTGGCAGCATCTCCACCATACTCCTGCCCTAACCCGGTCTTCGAGCCGTGACCTCACAAAGCTCCACAGCCTTCTGGCCAATCAGCAAGACGATATCCCACCCCCACCTCAGCAGTTAGGCCAGGCAGGCCTCCTTGATTAACTGATTCACGCTGGAGTGGCATCACAACTTCCTGCGTAAACTCTCTTAGGGTGGTGAGGGCCTCACGTGCAACCCATTTGCTCTGGCCTAAGACCTTCCTTCGTTCATCCTTGGTGAGTCTCCTGAAGTCTCACCGTGTGAATGTTCAGGATGGGCCCTCTGGGGGCTGGAATCACTAGAGTCATGGACTGCGGACAGGTTGGCCCTCCTATAATGACGTGGTACAGTATGTTCACAGCTAAAAGAAGTCAAGTTTCACTGACTGACAGATCCTCGATACATGGTGTGGGGGGGAGTACATGCCATCAGGACACTTGCAATCGCCATCTTGAATTTGCTTGACATGTGACTTCGAAGCCCAACTTCCTGTCTGTTGATGAGTGTCACAGTGTTTCCTGGAGTTCTCCAGTCTCTTCTCCTGACCCTCGTGCAGCCACATGTGATCGTCACCGAGACGTGAGCGGCAGGAATTTTCATCGCAGTTATCTGCGTATCTAGTGTCTTTTTTTTATATATCGTCAGAAGACAGCATGGCATGAGCATCATACTCTGATGTTCCATCTTCCCTGCAACGATGTCCAAAGGCCTCGTCTCCCCTGAGTTTAAGTCCCTGCCAGCCCACCATAAGATGGACCGGTTACATCTCCTCTAAGATGCTACCTCTCCTACCCACCAAGACATTTTTATCTCCCCACCCCCGTATGTTGAGTTCTTGAACTATGGGATGATCTTGATTTCTCCACGTGTCTTCTCTAACTAAATGTCATACTTTCTTATGTGACTTTCAGGAAGTCACATCTCCGTAAGGTGGCCAGTAAGGTCTTGAATATCTTACCTGAGCATCAGAAAGCTCTGACTTCTCCCACTGTGGAAGCGGCTCTTTTCCACATCAGGGTCCTAGGTCTCATTTCTTCCATCTGAGCGGTACCTTGTCGCAAGCTCTCTACCAGAATCAGGAAATCTTACATCCTCTACCTGAATATTGAAAGACTGTACCTTAAGTATTCTCAACCTCCATAAAGAAGTTTTGGAAGTATTCACGTCCCCTACCGAGAAGTCTCCTCTCCCTACTTGAGTCCAGTCGCATCTCCTACCCAAATGTCATATTGCTTTTCCCTCCTCTCCAAGAATATCACAGTCTTCTCTCCTCTGTCCAAAGTCCTCATCTCAGCTCCATGTCTGTCTGTCTCAAGATCTCATCCTCACTGCCTAAGGGTCACAAAATTCCCTGTCTTCTACTCGACTACCAGGAGGCCTTACTTATCCTATCTGAGTATCATAGGGCATCGGGACATCCAGTCTTTATCTGACAATTAGGATTCATCTGTTTGGGCATGCATCTGGATCAGTGGTTCTCAACCTGTGGGTTGCGACCCCTTAGGATCTCAGATATCCTGCATACCAGATATTTGCATTATGATTCATAACAGTAGCAAAATCACAGTTATGAAGTAGCCATGAAATAATTTTGTGGTTGAGGGCCACCACGACATGAGGAACTGTATTAAAGGATTGCACACAGCCTGAAGCTGGAGGTTTCGTCTGTTCTCTGTGACCAGAAGGTCTCATCAGGCCTCGGATAAGAAACACATCTCCTCTACTGGAGTGTTGCTACAGCTTTCTCTTTCCTACCTCAGCATCAAGCATTCTCCTCTCCTTTGCTAATCGTCCTTTGATTTCTATGCCCCTCCCTTTCTAGAGCTGTTCTGGAGTCTCAACTTGTAGCATTAATGCTTCTTAAAAAAATATTATTGTTTAAATTTTTTATTTTATTTTTACTTATGTGTATCTGTCTATGTGACTATATGCTGGGGGGGGGGGGTTACCCTGAGGTCAAAGAGGGCACTGAATCCACTAGAGCTAGAGTTACAGGCAGTTATGAACTGTTATGAACTGCCCAATACTGGAACTGGCAATCGAACTCTGGTCCTCTGGAAGAGCAAGAATACTTCATCACCAAGTCATCTCTCCATCCTAGCTCTGATGCTCAAGAGCCACAAGTGAGTGTCCCAGTGCCTTTTCTCCCTCTGGGTCAGATGTGCCAGGCCAGGCCAGCTCACCTTTCTTTACCAGAAATTGATAAGACCTCATTTCCACTATCTGAGTGACAGGAAAATTTAACACTCTTATCTCTGTATTGAAAACGTATTCTTCCTTTATATTCTAACAACTGGTTTTGTTTCCCCTAAATAAATATGAGGTCTCCGCTTCCAAAGCCAGTCAGTGGAACATGACCTCGGGGCCTGAGAACCTGGTCCGTAATGCAAACAGGGGCTCTCCCCTTGAAGCTTTGCCCCGAGTTCTAGCCTCTAAACTGCAATAAGAACAATGTGACCTAAGGGAAAGGACCTCAGCTCTAACATCCACCCTAGACGCACCAGATCCCACACAGCAGCTAAGGGGACAGGGAAGGAAGGCATCAGAAATGTGTAACTGAATAGAGCAAGATAGCAGCCGTGAAGAAAGAATATAACCTCTGGCTGTGATTAACATTCCTCCTAAGATTCCTCATTAATCGGTAGGAATGCTGAATGTTAATTTTCAAATTTACATCATTAATGAAAAATTTAAACCATTACCTGCTCTTCAAATAGTAAGTATCTCAAATTCTTTTATATGACTACAATTCTGTAATTCTCACGTAATTTACATGACTGTCAAATTCTTTTTACATGACTTCTACTTGTTAAGAACTAAATCTAGCCATGTGGTGGTGGAGCACACCTTTTAATTCCAGCACTCGGGAGGCAGGAACGGGTGGATCTCTGAGTTCTTTGCCAGTCCGGTCTACAGAGCAAGTTCCAGGACAGGGTCTAAAGCTACAGAGAAATCCTGTCTCAAAACAAACACACACACACACACACACACACACCTAAATTCTGTTGTAAAAACAAAAGTTGTGACTTAAATATCCATATGCTAGCAGAACCTCATGATGAAGGCTCATAGTCACAGTTACTCAGGAGGCTGTAGCAAAGGGAGGATCATAGGTTCCAATCCTGCTTGGGCTACAGAAAGAGTTCAAGGTCAAAAAGGGAGTGGGGTACAACTACCAGAGGACCATGTGATTTTTATCTCTGTATGTCATAAATTGGCCCCTCCTCTACCTGAATGTAAAGGAATACTTAAGTCAACTTCAGGGTTCTCAGGAGCTTCTGACCATCACTGGGAGCTTTAATCTAAATCACAAAAAAAAAAAAAGGGCTCTCCTCTGTGTCGGGTTGTTCCTCTCCTGCATTAGAGTGTAAGGGCCCTTGTTGTCAACCTTGATGTTAGATAGTAGTCTCACCCTCCCCACAGGAAGGTTAGATTGTCCTTTTCTTAACCACTGAGTATTAGACCTCCCTTACTGTAAATGGGGTCTTTGGGGGTACCAGCCCCTCAGATCCCTTCAAAGTGCAGCTAAGGCACGACAGTCAGCAAGGGAAAAATAACGAAGGGGATCTGAGAGGAAAACGAGTCAACTCACACGCAATTTCTCCTCAGCATGTCTCTTTATTGTCCTCTCTTCTTTGTCCTCTCTTCTAATTCTTCTGTCCTGTCTATACTATCTTAGCTCTAATTTTCTCTCCCAATTCTAATTCCAATTCTCTGCTACCTTCTCCTCCTCCTCCTCCTCCTCATTTTCCTCTTTCTGCTCATTTCTGGGATGCTTCTGCTCCAGCTTCTGTGTACTCTCTGTTCTCATACAGCATACAGACCCACAAAATCTCGCAGGCATTCACCTGAAGGTCACATACCATTACTTAAGCAAATGATAAGAAACAGAGTCATTCCAACAACTCACAGTGCAATAGACCCAGACAGGGAGAAAAGATCACTTTTTTCCAGTTGGCCCCGAACTCATGGGCTGCAAAGTGCAGCTGGGAAAGAAGTCTTCTGTCACCTCATCTAGAGAGGTGGCCTTGTAGAACTAAACCAGTAAGAGAAACAAGAACAGTGTGAAGAGAAACAAGAACAGTGTGTTATAGCCTATACTTTTCAGAGTAGATAACATCTTCAACATTTTGCGGCTAGCAGTCAAAAAGGCCAGGCTTTCTCGGACTGGAGACTTGTTTGTTTACATATGTGTCCTCAGAGAGAGTGCAGCAGCAGCTGGAGATGCAGGGGTGTGGGGCAGAGGAGCCCACTCAGCACTTGGTAAGACACAGTGACATTAAAAGCATCGTAAATCTTAAGATATTTTTCTGTCCAGTATGTAACCCTACCATACAAAGAGAAGCTTATAACGCTATTTTGGGGTTATGAAGTTGGTTTATATTTTGTTGCTAGCCCTGGCCAGTCATGGAATCTTAATCCCGTGGTATCTGAGCAAAGGCCATGAAACTGAGGTTAGGAATCCATGCAAAGAGTTCATTATTGTCCCTGGTACTGCAATTAGGTTACTTTGCATTATTTACCTTGGTTCAACAAATCATACAGTTGGCTACATGTCCTAGTAAATAAGATTGTATTCCTTTGGTAATAGCTCATCTTAAAATACAATAGCAAGGCATCTGGTTGTGGGAAGCAGGTATTTTTGACCCTGTGACTGTTTTCACATATAGCTAGAGGATGTCATCAATACATCTCAAATGCATAGGGGTAACTGTGCCCAATAAATGATCAAATAGTGCTGAACTGTGAAAGACAATTCCAATCTGTAACAGATCGGAATAAGCCATCGGAGAAATCTACAGCGTTCATTCATAAGGCAATAACTCCGATATGCCTCACATCTTGGTTTAATCCTCCAAGAGAAGCCTTGATGCTGATGGGCTGACCTCATGAAAAGATAGCTGTATAATTCTTGCGTAATCCTGTGGCTCAGAGCAGATAAGCATCCCCCAAAGGCTTGGGAAATGGCCAAGAAATGGGGAGCAGCGAGATGGATCAGCACGGAACGGTACCTACCACCAAGGTTGATGATCTGAGTTGTCCCAGGACTGGCCAGCATGATGGCAGGAGAGACCCGACTTTCACACGCTGTCTTCTGACCGGCACATGTGCCACAGGCACACAGGCTCACACAAATACACACCAAATAAATTAAAATGCAATCATATGTTTGAAAAACAAAAATGGTGTTGAGCAGTGGTTTAATTCTAGCTCTCGGGAGACCAACGCAAGCAGATTTCTGAGCTTGAGACCTGATCTACAGAGTGAGTTCCAGGACAGACAAGGCTACACAGAGAAACTCTGTCTCAAAAACCAAGCGTGTATGTGTCTGTGTGTCTATGTGCCTAACACAGACACACACACGAGAAGTACGTAAGGTCTGAGTCTAGAGATCATTCTACATCGTGTCTACATTCTAGATGATTACAAGTCACTGCAGAATGAGCCCACTCCAATTCTAGAACAGGCTAGAAGCCTGGTACCTGTCCTGGGTTACAAAGACAAGTGAGGTGCTCTGCCCACCCAGGTTTGAGTTTGTCATAAAGTTTCAAGGAAGCACAGGCATTTGAAGGGAGTATGATTTTAGGACACCAGACCTTCATCTGCTCCTTGAAGCCACCTGGGACACTTTTTTCCCTAGGTAAAGAGGCCTCCCCTGCCATCCAGGATTACTGCTACTCCCCAATTTTCCTTACCAGCTCCTTCCTAGCCCCACCCTTGACTCAGAACAACTTCAGATAACTTCAGAATCTGTCATCTGTGTTCATGATGCTGAAGCCACTAACCCACTTGCCTGTCTGAAGCTCCTTCCTTCAGGCATGTTCCCTGTCTTGATTTCTTAGCTCTCTCTCCAATGTCTTGCTGAGTCGGAATCTGTCTGCCTGTTCACTTGACTATGCTTGTGGCTAGGCACCTGTCCCAATGCCCCGAAGTGTGGGTTCCCCGCTATGTGACTGGCTAGCGACAGCTGGCTGCTCACACCGCCTGTAAACATGCTCTCGGAGGTCAAGTCTGTGTCCAGCACATGGCCCAGAGAAACAGGAAAAGGCAAACATCAAGCCCTTGAGAAGCTAACTCTGGCCTTTGAGGGAGGAGAAGTGACAGGTGAGAGGCACCAATTTCCTCCAACGTGAGACAACACTGGAAACCGGGAGGTTCCACCTGGGACTCCGGAAACGGCAGAACCAGGAGAGTTCCCAGGAAGAAGGGATGTAGAGCAGAGCCAAGAAAGGTGGTAAAGGGTGGGCAACCTAGGCAGGACGTGGGTCAGTGACAGACAGGAGAAAGTGTAGGAAAGGCTAGAAGGGCAGAAGGGGGCCCTTCACCAGCTTCATTTGCCATCTGGGGTGACAGGGACAGAAGGCAGGAATGGAGATGGAAAAACCACTGCATCAACTCAGGCAAGCAAGGCCGAAACACAGCAGCCGAGGATCAGCACAACGGGGAGGGACGTGGGGGTTGAAATTTAAAGCAGATTTTATCAACAACTGGACACTGGAGGCAGGTTTCAAATCTCAGGTTAAAGAGTGGGGCTGGCATTGTTCGGTGGTCAAGTACTGACCTGGGTTCCATCCCCAACACCAGAAGAAAAACAAGTGGCAGGGATCTCAGAGGACCATCGGTCTAGAGGTGGTCATCCAGGGCTGGAGACACGGCTCAGCCGCTAACAGCACTTGCTGCTCTTGCAGAGGACTGGGGTTTGGTTCTCAGCACCCACACTGGCGAGCTCACACCTGCCTAAATGCCAGCTAGCTTTCAAGGGCACCTCACACACGTGTCATATACTTTTACAGACATGGACAGACATAAAAATATATACTTTTTAACGTGCTACCTAGTGAGGTGTGTTAAACAGTCTGTAGAAAGCCTCAGCCAGTCTAGCAACCTAGAATAGGTTGGTCAAACAGGAAGTCTATGAAAGATTGATCCAAAGACATCACTGAGTCGAGAGTTCACTGGGTCACTGTGGGCTTGTGTGACTCGTCTGAAGAGCAGGCGCTACTCCCTAACTCTAAGCAAGCAACCGAGACAGGGTTTCATTTCTTATAAATTTATTACATAATATTATAATAATTATTATTAATAATAATAATATAAGAAACATAGATCTCTGTGGGGTGTATCACAACGTCAGGGTCAGGAGGCCTCAGGACTGGAGCAGGGGGTGAAAGCCCCCAGATGGAACTCCATACAAAAGGAGGGGTGAAGCAGAACTGACCCTGTAAAGTTAAAAACCCAAATTGAACAGAACCAAAAACCCACAGGTAAATGTGAGACTGTGTATGTGGCAGTCTGTTACAGTGACCGCTGCTGTGTGTGACCTGGTCTGTTGGTGAGGGGGTTAGTGGGTGTGACTCTGTCTAGGGAATGGGGCCGGTGGGCCAGCACAGACCGGCGTGCCAAGCCCCTGGGCCATGAAAACATCTGTTTTCTGTCTTTTTTATTTTTATTAAAAAAAGCTAGAAATAGAAACAGAAACTTGTGAGTGACGTGGATGGAGCTTAGTCCAGACTCCAAACCCTATGTTTAAAAACGCCCCAGGGCCCCCACCCCACAGGTCATTACTGAGTGTGGGGAGTCACAGTAAGGGGGCCAGGGCACCCTCAGGAGTCTTTGCCTCTCTCCAAGGGCTGTTGTGGCCTGATTTTTTTTTTAGTGGTCCCCACAATCCCTTTAGAAGCCCAAAGGGGATACTGCCTGCAGGGGGCCCTTGAGGCCTCCCGAAGTTCCAAGAAATCCTGCTTAAGCTGGGTGAGGCTCAAGAACAGGCTGAGACACCAGCACGACCCGCCCGCCCTAGAGCAGCCTTTCTTTGGAGAAGACAGGGCACTTTCACAGGCACACACCCATGCATGCACCCTGTGCAAGCTTCCGCAACCTCCCACCCATCCAGAACAGCCCCTGGGGACCACTCCACAATCAGGCACATACAGGGCACCCATGCGCTCAGCCACACCCACTTTTCACAAGCACACAGGCGTGCACACACATATGTGGCACACACACAGGGCAGGGATAGGGAGTCTTTGGGGTGCGAGGCAGGGAGGCTTCTCTGCTGTAGTTGCCCAAGAAGTGGGAAGGTTAGACCCCTCCTTTGGGAGAGACCCTGTGAAGATGATGGCTGGGGTTGGGTTACCGGGGCCCAGCCCCAGGGCAATAATCTCCCAGGCCACCTGGCCCTGCTAGTGCCCAGCAGGCAATGCCTGCCACCCGTCCCTCTGAGCAGCACCTAAAGGGTGGGTGGGGCATACTATAGCTCAGCGAGGGAAGGGGGCTGAGCCGGGGTCCCCAGGGTGGGCTGCCAGGACCCTGGCTAACCCCAGGCCAGCTGGAGTGTCCCCTGCCCTGTATGGGGTGGCAGTGAGGGGCCGGAGATGGAAGACTGGGCAGCTGTGGCGGGACCAGCGAGAGGACTAGAGGGGAAGAGGGTGGGAACTGTTACGGACAGAGATATTTGTTCCTTTTCTCGTTCCAAATATAGAGTGGATTAAAATATGTAAAACAGGGGGCTCCTTGGCCCCCATCGAGAACCCCAATGTCTCCCCCCCTCCCCCCGAGTCACCAAGGCGTGTCCTGACCTCGCATGCTGGACTAGGTTCCCCCTCTGGGAGAATGGCCACCAGGAGCTGTGAAGGAGGTGGTCAGGCCAGAGCACCCTGCCCTAACCCCCTTCCACCCAGCCCCCCTGGTCCGCGCCCTTACTGTGTGCTGGGTGGGGTTCAGCGGCAGGGGAGGGCACTAAGCAATGTACAGGGCAAGTCTCCAAGCAACAGCAAACAGGACGATTCATGCAACATTCCTGGCCCGGGCGCCGTGGTAGGGGGCGAGCCGAGCCTGCGGCCTGGAGTAGGGGTAGGGGCCCTGCCGGCAGGGCGCAGCAGGAACGGGAGAGGGAGTGGGGCGTCAGCTGCCATCCAGCTGCCTGAGCGCACGCTCGATGTTCATGCGGTGGCCAACGCGTGTGACGCCCAGCTCCACGAAGTCGTCCTTGGTGAGCGCAGGCAGGTGTGCGCCTTCGATCTCATGGTCCTCGAAGCGGTCTCGGTGCTCGCCCAAGTGGATGCTCTCCAACCAGTCGCCCACATCGAACTTGCTCCAGAGCTGCAGGGGCTTCTGCTGGAATGGCCTACGGGGGCCAGCACTGGGGCCAGAGCCGGGAGAAGGCGAGGGCAGCGGAGATGGCGAGGGGGAGCGGCTGCGCGCACTCACACTTCGCACCACGAAGCGCACTTCCTTGGGTTCGTGCGGGATGGAGAGGCTGGACGACTTGAGGATGGTGGGAGGCGTGAGGCCGAAGGGCCGCCCCGCGCCTCCCACACCCGCCCCCAGCCCCTCCACCCGCTCCAGCGATGCGGGCTTCACTGGGCTCGGGGCTCGTCTCGCCACGGGGTACCGGCCGCTGGGCCGCACCGAGTAGGAGGCCCCTCCGCCCGGGCCCCCGGGGCTGCGCTGCGCTGAGATGGTGCTCAGCTCACCGAGGCTGCTGAAGAGCCTGCGGAGGGAGAGTGGGTGAGGGCCAGGTGAGGGGCGGAAAGTAAAGTCGGGGTGGACAGAGGGGAGCAGAGCCAGGAGGACTAGGGCTGGAGGAATATCCTGTGGTCACTCTTTTTTAAAAACCAAAAACATCTTGGCCTGTGCCTTGCCTTACTCTGGGGGATTCTCAGACTGACTGGAATCTTAAGAAGTAAGACTAAGTCCCCCACAGAGCTCTCCACGGAGAGCATTCCACCAAAGAAGAGTTCTCATTGAGAAGAGCCGCTTGCCCCTCCCTGCCAGCCTCTAACACAGTCTGCGGGCATGGGCTCCGCCCACAGATGCACTGGACTGTTAGGATTAGAGCAGTATCTTGACCGCTCCCCACATACAACTCTGTTCTCAAGCTCGACCGGACCCAGAAAACCTAGGCCAGTTTCAGGGACAGCCGAGTCATGGTAAAGGCTGGCAGGGGCGCAAGACCAAACAGGTCCACGAACACTGGAGACAAACACCAGGCAGGGCTCACACCCACAAGAGGTTGAGGCAATAGCACACCATAACTGGAAGACAGTCTCCCTGCACAGAAGAGCACACCACAGCAGCAATGGTGACTACATGTGCTGCAGACATGCAGCAGTAATGGTAGAAATGCAGTAGCACACGGGCAGACACACAAGGCAAATGGTACCTCAGTTCCCAGCCTCACCTGGCAGGATCCTGGACTTCCAGCCCTGCCCCAGCCTGCCTGGCTGGAGGCCAGCCCGAGGTGGGCTGCCCTAAAGGAAGCCTACTCCCACGGCCCCTCATTCCCATCTCGACCCCTTACTATGGCCATGGACAGTCTCGGTCGCTGTCAGTAGCACCAAAGCCCCACACAGCCATGCAGAGCAGCCAGGGGCAGCCAGGCACAGCATGTGAACTGCGAGAGGCATGGGATGGGCATGCTCACTTACACAGCCGGCACTCGGGACCACCGCGCAGCTAGACAGAGCAGCCACATGCAGATGGGCAGGAAAGAGCAATGAGAGAGAGTGTTAGCAGGCCAGGCCCACAACGCCTTCAGTCACAACCACACAATGGGCAGCCAGGTTCAGGGACCCCTGTGGGACACTCTATGGAGGCTGGAACTCAGAAGGTAAGGCCCATCGACTTCAGAGGTACTGGGGAAGAGAAAGTACTTAGGAGAGTTGGGCTAGAAGGTGTCTGATTCGCCTGCCACCTCTCTCTGGCTCTCTCCGCTGTGCAGTGCGCGCTTAGCGGTGTCTTGCAGTCTGATAAGTCTCTCCACTGTCTGACCAACCTCTCTCCAGCTGCCATCTTACCCCCCACCCCCACAATGCCTTCTCTCTTAAGCTGGCCTAAGTTCCTGCCCACTCGGCACAGCATCCACAGTGCTTAGTGCTTATTCCACACCAGCCGGAGTCCCCTCAACACTTCTCTCTCCTTGCTAGAGTTCAGCTATGTAATAGTCCCCTAAAAGGCTTGCATTCTGAAGGTGCAGCGGTGTATCCAATCAGTGAGAGGTAGCTGGATCATGAGAGCTTTGTCCTAATCAATGAATTAATATACTGATGGGGGGCTGGCGAAGGCGGCACACGCCTTTAATCCCAGCACTCAGGAGGCAAAGGCAGGCGGATCTCTGTGAGTCTGAGGCAAGCCTGATCTACATAGCAAGCCCTGGGCCAGCCAAGGCTACATGTTAAGACTCTGCTCCCCTTCTCCCCCAAAATAAAAAATCAATAATGATCACAACAATACATTGATGAATTTATAATTTGATGGTCTTATTCCTTCCCCTTCCAGGTTCTTCTCTCTTCCTGGCTGCCCCAAACCCCTCCCCCATTATAATGCTCTCCCTAGCAATGGGGCCAAGAAACCACGGACTGAAATCTCTGAAACCATAAACCAAAATATATCTTCCCTCTTCAAGTTGTTCCTGTAAGGCAAAACCTGTCACGGAGAAGGGAAAGCTAACACATTCCGTTAAAGCAACTTTCAAGTTAACCCTCGCATGGAATACTCCTTCCCTGGAGACCTCATTTCCATCCCTTTTAATGGCTCTCTCCTCAGCCTGTCCATATGGCTTCCTCCCAACTGCTCAGACCCCTGGTAGAGCTTCTTGAAGAAGCCAGACAGTGGCCCAAATGCAAATATTCCAAGAACATCCACGGTATACATACGGGAACAGGCAAAGCCCCCAGAAGAAACTTTCACTCCTATGGAACCTGGCCTCATGGAGCCATCTTGGCTTTGGGGGCAAAGTGGGGTGGCAACTGAGGTGAGGTGAGCTAGAAGCATAGTTGTGAGGTCAGATTGCAGTCACATACAGAGTAAAACAAAGCCAGGAATGTCACCTTGCCTGTTTCTCCCCCTGAATTCATGCTGACCCTCGCCCGGGCATCTGTGTCACAGAACAGACATCTACACAAGACCTACTCCAAGGGTTAGGTTCCAGCAGCTACACTGGAGGCTACAAAACAGCCAAAAGGCAGTGCAGTGGGAGCTTTAAGCAGAGCTCAGAAGAGAGTCTGGGCCCAAAAGGTCTAAGCTGGGCCAAGCAGCTATACCTGTCTGGATAGCGTCAAAGCCTTCCTTCCTGGCAGGGGTGACTGGAGGCCTGGGCTGAGGGCAAACTGGCTTCAGAGGCACCCAGGGTCCGGAAACAAGAGTCTGTAGCCAGGGGACTGGGAGTAGAGAGAGGGCTGGTCATAAACCTCAACAACCTCCACCAGTGTTGGAGATGTTGGGAGGCCTAGAAGAGAAGCCCAAGGAAGGGTATGTCTGCAAGGAGTAGCCAAAGTATGTGTCTGTTTCCCTGTCCACCTCTCGGGGAAGAGCTCTACCTACATTGTCCCCAGGGCAGAAACCCCAGTTTGTGCAAATCTGATTTCAACATGTTTACACACACCTCTGCACACCTACCTCTGGCGAAGGTCACTAATAGGGGACTGACTGACCACTCAATCATCAGACTGTGTCCACCACAAGGTCACCTCACAGCATCTGCTGCCCTCCAGGGTGTTCCTGGCTGATGCAGTCTCTAAGACCTTGCCCCCCAGGAACTCCCAGTCAGTGAGATCTGACCTCTGCCCCTGGCCATCACCAAAGCTGTAGGCAGGGTCCCCTGGCTGGCCGGCCGGCTCATCTGCTTCCTTGGAGGAACCCTTTCTAGCGGCTTCCTTCCCGGATGAATTTTCTAGCCCACACTCTTTCATAAGCTGTACTTTCTGAGGCCGTATCATCTACCCCCATTCTCTGCTATGACTAATAAGCCCAGGAATGCCATATGTGAGAACCCATCAGTTTCTTCTGAGCTCAGGGTTTCTACTGGGATCTCTTAACCTCTCTTAACATACAGGCTATCCAGCCCAGACTCAGTGAACAACACCCATAAGAGGCCTGGGGCTCCTCTGCCTTTTTATCCTTAGCAAACGTCACCAATTCCTCACATTAATCCAGGTCCTTTCTCACCACAGGAGCCCCTCATAGTTTCAGATCCTTATACCATCCACTCTCCCTCCTTTCACCTTTTCTTTCCCTTCTCTTTCTCTGCCCCCTCTTCTCTCCGCTAGGGATAAAAGACAGGCCTCATGCATGCCAGGTAAGCCTTCCACTGCTCAGCGACATCCCAGCCCTTCAATTCCTTCTTCGCCGTTTCCTTGACTCCTGGATCCAGGCACAAACTCAGGAATAGAATACACTCTGACAAAAAGATGTCACCCTACAAACACACCACATCTTCCTCCGGAGACCGCCTTACCTCTGTCAGCCCACTGATACCAACAGGCAAGGAAAGATTCCTACTCAGGCCTGGCCAGTACCTCAGACCTACTTGCCTTTGCACTCAGGTGGGTCAGGTCTGGATCTGTGGCTTTTGGCAATTTGGAGGCCCCGTCTCATTACAGGACAATTCTTAGTAGGAACACAGATCAAGTAGGATCTAAGATTCTGCTTAAGTCCTCTCTGCCGCCTTGGCCTTATTCCTCACCGCCTGGCCCGTCTAATACAGACATGCCCAGGGTACCTCTGTCTTCTCTTATGATCTCTTTCTGTTCCCTAGCGGAGTTTGGACTTTTGAGAATGCATGTGCATTTGATCTGCAGAGACATAATGCATTCCATCCCCAGGATCCAACTGGTCTCAAGAACCTTCATGTATGATTGTCGCAGCACACGGACTCTGTCCATACCCTTAACACGCAAGCAGGACCTTTATCAGACAGACAGGGTAGGGATTTGCAGAGCCACCTGACTGGAAAATGGGTCTCCTGTGAGATCTCACCAGTGGTCCAGTGAACGGCACACTTGGACCACCCACATGCAAGCATGTTTGGGGGGGGGAGCACTCAGAAGTACTGCGGCAAATATTTCCAAAGCTATTTCACCATGGTTTCTGTAAACACAAGTGAGGATCTGCCAGGTATAAAACTGAGTCAGCTGGCGTGACTGCACACACCTGTGATTCCAGCACTTGGGAGGCAAAAAGTGGGAGGATCTTAGGCTTAAGACCAAGTTGGGCTACACAGTGAGTTCAGTACCACCCTAAGTTATATAGAAAGGCTCTATCTCAAGTGGGTGAGATGACTCGGTAGGTGATGGCTCTTGCAGCCAAGTCTGCTGACCTGAGTTCAATCTCTGGTACCCACAAAATGCAAAAGCAATACTGACTCCCATAAGTTATTCTGTGACTTCCACATGTATACCATAAAATGTGTACACATGCACATGCGCGCGCGCACACACACACACACACATATAATAAATAAAGGTAGAAAAGAAAAGAGAAAAGAAAAAAAGAAAGGTCCCATATCTCAATAAGACAGAGCAGGGGAGTGTAGCCCAACAGCTGACCATTTGTCTAGCATTCATAAAGCCCTGCCAATCCTCAGCACCAATCCCTCCCCAGAAAGCCAAGGCAAAACAGCACTGTAGGGTTCAAAGCACATGGAAGAGTCAAGACCAAACATGAGACCCAGAAGATAAGTGGAATCTGGAGGCAGGCACAGGTCTCAAGACAGACAGGTGGGGCTCCACAACCAGTTGCAGGGCCCAAAGTTGAGTTTTAAACGATGAACAAGTAACATGCGGACTAAGTCAGGCCTTTTCAGACATGAGAATCTGTCCAGCGGGGGCTAGAACCTCAACCTGAAGAGAAAGTCCAGGTGGGAACACGGACCTCAGAGTAGCACCAAGAACAACCTCAACCTCAACACCAACAATGGGCCCAATGTAAATGAGCTGATTTACAAGGTGCTGCGCTTTCTTCAGAAAGTTCAGATTGTTGAGTTCCTGAGGCTAGACTTTATCACTGCCTGGACTAAGACATCTGCAGAGAAGGTAGACAAAAAAGGGTCATTCCCTTCTTAGTGGAATCCATCAAGAGAGAGATGAGTCTGGTAGGTAAAACCAGGGGACCATACACAGACCAAAGATGTGGCACAAGGATGTGACCTCTGCCAGGACGGATCCTGAGAAGGACACAGTCACACCAAGACGTCAGAACGTCACACGTTTTATTAGACACTTCTCTAAAAGAAAGGCTCATTGATGATTTTTGATCCCAAAATCAGACATACTGGGTTCCAGGCCCCACTGGCTATCAGGCCAGTGCTGAGCTACAGCCCCAACAGACATCAAAGTCAGAGTGTCCACAAAGACAGACAAAAGACCTGGTCTGAAATAAGCTGGATGTACACAAAGTCACAAGTGCCCCATGCCTGTAGCCAGAAACAAAAGCACTGCGGCAGACAGCAGGACACACTCCAGGTGACTGTTGTTTCACCCAGGTATGACAATGTGATTGCCCACACGGAAGAGACAGAGGTAGGAGGATCAAAACCAGCTCAGACAGCATAGCAAGACCCTGTTTCCAAAACCAAAACCAAAAATAAAGAGCCCAAAAAGGTAGGAGAAAAGTGAGTGGGAACAGAACGAAATACAGAGGCAAATGGAGGAACACAGGGTACGAGGTAGTTTAGTGACGCTAAGCTGAGTGAGCGCTCAGTATAATTTATTACTTATATAGCTAAGAAATGCCATGAGTAACTGCAATACAGCAAAAGTCTGTGGCTGCAATGTAAAATTACAGAGTACAAACTCAATGTGTTACGGAAGGTGCTACTAGGAACCTAAGAGATCTTTGTCCATCTGTGTGCCCATGAAATTTGCCTTGGGACACCCTTTCGGATTTCAAATAATAATATAGCACTTGCATTAAGCTTCCTTTTATTGGCTTAAGACATGTTTATTGAGGCCCTGCAATGGGTTAAGCAATAAGCTATGCACAACTTTCACCAAGAAAAGCAGCAGGAAGAAACAGAAGGGCTAGTGATGGGAGGAAAGACAATGAAGAAAAGGGTCCGGTGAAGGTTGTATCAGGACACCTCTATCTTTGAGGATCCCGTTTTGTAGGCAAACCTGAGAGCCCAGCCACTCATCCTGACTGGTCCATATCTACCGCACCTACTCAAGGGTGCCTTCATCACTGAACTACTGAGAAGGGCTTTCAATTCTGGCTGAGAAAAGAGGCCAGTAAGGGAGAAGGCCTGAGAACAAGCCACTTGAGTGTCAGCAGTGTCCCTGAACCTCTTAAGAGAGGCAATGTGAACTTCTCAAGGCTCCCATTCATCTTTTGGATCCTAACCTGGAAGACTGTAAAATGAGCAGGCCCTTGGAACAAGACCTGCGGTTCTTAAGCTGTGCCCTGCTCACCACTTTGTGAACTCTGTCTTCCACAACTGACAGTGAAGGGCACCTAAGAAACAAGGGGTGGGGAATCAGGAGGTGGCCTTCCACCCAAACCCAGCACAGGGGGACCTTGGGGCAAAGGCAGAAGCAGCTTGAGAAACAGAGACAAGAAGCTGGCCAGAACTGGTCAGCTGTCACAAGAACCCACGCAGTGCCCATGGGAGGCCCGGGGAAGGTTTCTGAGAAAGGACCTGAAGGATCAATCCAAGGTGCTAGCAACTCCTGCCTACAAAACGTTAGCAACAACCTTAGCAACATCCAGACCCCAGATCAGAAACTCCTCCTATCCCCATCATCACTGGGGAGAGGGGCACACAGGACAAGGAAGGAAAAGAGATGAAAGAGGAGATGGTGTGATTTCCAACTCTTCCTAATGGAGCGTTATATATCACATCCAGGATTCTGTGTATAAGGGTCCCACAAGGTGCCACAAGACAAATATTTCTAGGGAAGAACATAAGAAATTTGTATCAAGTCCCTAAAGAAAAGGAAGCAAGGCAGAAGGTTGCCCTAGGAGAGGCAACACCTGTCATACGGAGCAGCCATACTATCAGAAAGAGAAACGAAATGGAGCCATGGGACAGTGGACACAGGGCCAAAGAGCTACTGAGAAGGAAGGGCAGCTCCAGAGCACCATATGAAAAGACCCTGAACAGCAGAGGCATCCTGAGTTAGAAACAAGAGTCAAGAGTTGCGAACCTGCAGCAGGGCCTCCAATGGGTCCTGGGAGGTAGGATTCCTGGACCTAAGTCTCGTGGGTACCCAGTCCCACTGCCTGCACCAAAAGGGATGCAGAAAGTGACTGGACTAAGAGCCTTCTACCTCAGACAGCAAAGCAAGACCAAAGATAAAGAGGTGGATGGGGGACACCCGTGCCATGGACAGATGAGAGATGGGACAGAATGAGGAAGAACAGAAGGAAGCCTGTAGGTGAACGGAAGGAACAAAGACAGGGGGACGGGCCCCTCCCCACATCACCCTGCTCACCGAGCTGCTGCAATGGGCGACGACTTCTTAGCAGGGTCCAGCAGGCTGCCCAGGCCACCAACGGGTTCCTCCCCCAAGGAGCGTGTGTCTTTGTTCAGCTGCTGCAGACGGGAGCTGAGCTCACTGATCACAGTTGGTTTGTCATCTTCAGGCCCAGGGAGCCCCCGACTCTCCACGGGGTCCCCCCACAGCTTGGACCTTCTCTGGAAGAGGTAGCGAGGGCGGGCAGGCCCAGCAGCAGAAGCCAACCCAGTAGAGGCAGCATGGTGCTGCTGGGCCATGAGCTCACTGTCCGAGGATTGCTTCAGCAGCGGGTCCCTGAAGGTCACCGGCCCCTTCCCCAGCGGGGACTTGAGCTTGGGCTTGGGAGGCACTGGTGGCTTCTCGAGTAGAAAAGTGTGTCCATCGGCAAAGGAGGTGTGGGTGTCAGTGAGCTCCCCACTCTCCGAGCTCAGGGTGGACATGCTGGACACTGTGGAAATGGTGCTTGTGGTCTCCAGATGGGGGTCACTGGAGCTTCGGGTGTCAGCCTCCTCTACTCCAGAGTCAGCTGCAGACTCAGGGGCAGGGGGCAGCTCGCTGCTGGGCTTCCCTGAGGCCGGGCTGGGTACCGTGGTGGGCAAGGGGCCCGGTCCAGGGGGTGGGGTGGCCAGCAGGATCCCATTGGCAAACTCTTCAGGGGGTGGCACTAGCCCAATGCGGGCCAGTTCCTCCCTAGTTTCTTCATCGCTGGAGGACAGCTGAGCAGGTGGCAGGTTCACAGCAAATACCAGCTCTGGCTCTTCCTCGGAGCTACCTTGGCCTGGCCCAGGATCTGATGGGATGCTGCCAGGGGGCTGCGCCCGGGGGCTTGGCATAGGCTCTGCCACAGTCGCAGCCTGCATGGGGGCTGGGGCCAGCTCCGGAGTACCCGGGCGCTCCTCTTCAGCCCCCAGCCTGTTGGGCTCCTGTCCATTGCTGGTGGCATGCACAACAATGAGACCAGCTGGCCGCTGCAAGGACGTGTCCAAGACGCTGAGGATCATGGATTTCTTGTCCTCTGGTGACTTCCGCTCTTCCCGAGGGGATTTCTCTGCCTCTCTGCGAGCAGGCACTGGAATCCAGGCTGGGCTCCGAGGGGAGAAGGCTGGTGAAGCCAACGGCCCTCGCTCGGAGTCTCGGGTCTGCACATCCACAAAGAGGGGTCCGGGGCGGTCAGCATCAGGACTGTGCACAGGTGTGGGGGACCGGGAAGGCGTTTGCGAGGCCAGAGCCCGCTCTCGGGCAGCCAGAGCAAGGGCTAGGGGTGAGCTAGGATCCAAGGGTTTGCCAGTGAGAGGGTGGATGAAAGTGGAGCCTGAGGGCCCAAGGCTAGGGCCACTGACCAATGGCTTCAGAGCTGAGACAGGGGAGGGGAGCAGCAAATCACGGCCAGTGGGGGCGCCTGTCCCTAGGAGGCGCTCATCAATGGAGCGGGAGGGCTGTAGGGATGGCAGCTCTGCGCTGGGAGGGCTACCTTCGATGGCACCCACAGATAGGAACACAGTGGAACGGCGTCGCTCCTCCAGGCGCCGCTCCTTGCCGGGGCCAGGGCCAGGGCCGCCAAATGTGAGCCCCAGACCTTCTCCAGAGCCGTAGTCAAGGCCACCCGGCCGGGGCCCACGGTGCGTTGGGGAGGGATCTCGTGCAAAGCTTCCACCCACTGGACCCGGGCTACCCACGGCCAGGGCCGCGCGCTCCTGAGCGTCCTCCACCTGAAGCTGCTTCACCAGCGGGCTCTTGCGGCGCTGTGGTTTCGACGGAGCAAAGAGACTGGCACTGAAGGCGCCCAGGTTGGCATAAGGGCTATCAGGGCCGGACGGTCGAGGCCGGCGCTTGGGGCGCTCAGGTGGTGTAGCTGCAGGCACCGGCCGGGGGACATCGCCCATTTCTGGCGCAGAGTCCTGCAAGATGATCATGGAGCGCGCACGCTTCTGACGCTCAGGGTAGGGCAGCGGGCCCAGAGGAGCGCCAGAATCATACAGACCAGCGGCCCCTGCTCCAAGGCGAGCCTCCAGGCCTGGCTTGAAGCTGGAGCGCACAGTGTCATAGGCCCGGCCTGGCGGTGGCGGCGGTGAGAATGTGGGAGGTGGCCCGGAGTCGAAGTAGTAGGGCGCGGGTGGGGGTGGTGGAGCGGTCTGCGGAGGGGGTGGAATGCCACGACCTTCACGCACTGTGTCCTGCATTGATGTGCTGCGTGGGAAGCGCCCTTCCAGTAGGGATGCCAGCTTCTCGTCCTCCCCTGGGGACGGAGGGGCCAGGTAAGTCTGGCAAGGATGCTGGCCACTGAAAGACCTCTCTGGACCCAGTGCCACTGGCTAGTCCTATCCTGCCTGCAACCCTGAGTGGCCACAGCCCCACCAAGGAAGATGGGATCAGGGCCCAAAGAAGAGCACAAAAGCTCTGAGCAGGCCATCCACACTCTGTGCCAAATCCTGTACAGGTAGGGAGAGCTCAGCTGAAAGGTCCAGAAGCGACCCCACCCACAGTGTGGAGGGCTGCTCCTGCAGAGGAACTGGGGACAGGACCCAAACTCTGACTGCCTGGACTGAGGCCACAATCTCTCCAAGCCCTGTGCGCACATGGAGCAGGCCATGAGAAGACACCAGGAGTGTACAGCACCCCCCACACAAAAACTGTTGGGAGAATGGGGTGGGGGTTAGGGGCTTCCCACACAAGGATGAGCAAAGCTAACTCAGAAACATTCATAGTGTTGAACAAGAAGGAGCCAACAGAGACCCTGATAGCAACCAGAGATGGGAAGAAGAAAGGTGGTCAGAAAGGACACTCCCTCCCCCCCTTGCATGCACCCAAAGTAATACATCAGTGAGGGGATGCAGGATAGTAGCAATGGATCCATGCATCTGAAAGAAGTGGCGCTGACACCCAGGGTAGGAGGCTGGGAAATACGTTACACTGGTTCCTTGGAGAGACTCTCAAGCACTGGTCTGCAGGATACTAGGAAGTTGGTACCCTAGCCAGAGGCTAAAATTTAGAGAAGCTGGATAGACAGCTGGAAGGAAGAATGAATGGGTAATCTAAACTGAAATTGAAGGCATGGTTCGGTTTTACCCCTACTGTCTCGTGTTACTACCCCCAAGCCAGGGTGCAAGCCCCACTTGGGCCTGTTCTCTCGTAGGCTACACTTGACTAAAAACGAGCCCCACCCTCTTGTCCAGAGATGTCATTAGGCTAGACCCTTGCGGAACCTCCTGTGTCATTTCAGACATAAGGTTGACGCCTGTGCAGGGTTCCATACAGTGAGACTTGTAAGCACTGAGTGGCTCGATCTAAGAAGTAGGAGGCAGGCTTGGCAGTGACCCACTGTCTCTGGCTCTGTCAGGAGCCCACTCAGGACGAGCAAGGGTAGGCCTGTTGCAAACCTAGGCTTGAATTCCAGTTTCACACGAGCCACTTTATCCCAGGACCTTTCCTAACCCTATCACAGGGCTCTTCACAGCTTACAGTTCAAGGCTACAGGGAGCAACACCAAAAAAGACGACTGAGGCCATCGCCAGTTTTTCAGCGTCTGCCTAGCCGGTCTCGGGCCTCCTCTTGATGCCATTCCTACAGAGCACAGAACAGGTACGGAACATTCGCAAGCCTGTGTGCTCAGTGGAACTCTGTAGGAAGAACTCACATAGATCTGAAGGTTACAGAAGGTAGGAATGATGTGTGACAAAGGAAGAGGGGGTGGAATTTAATACGGATGGCACGGTAGGCTGTGCCTGAGGGCAAAGCAAAATCACCTGCCTCAAACGGAATAAGGGTCTGCTGGAGACCCTAGAATAAAGAAAGACCTTCTCTGTCTTCCGGTCTGCAGCAGGACTGTTTCCTGGGTATTGGCTGTGTGCTCAAGACACAGAGCCCAGATAAAAGAACTGTTGCAACTACCACAACTCAGGAAGATCCCAAGCAGTCCTTACTGGCGGTATCCGTGTTTGCAGAGTGTTGTTCTAGAGTCCCAAGAGTTGTATTATAGGCCCGGGGACAAGCATTCAGATCTGAAGCGGGAGTCCAAGGAGCCTGAGAACTCGGCCAATGGTCATGCTGGCAACTGGCAGTGTGCTAGCCATGGGGAACTAAAGTTGAGTACCTGCTAACTAACTGGTCAGCTAGATCCGGCTGGGAGGAGCTGGCTGGCTTGCCAAGGACCTTGAGGCCTATATGAGGAGTACATAGATCTGGGTCTACAGTAGCCAGCTCTGGGCAAAACCATCCAGGAAGAGCGAGGGCAGACAAGCAGCAGTGGGTATAGGAAGACTAGGGTCACAGAAAGTGCAGCAGATACCCCAGATGAAGCAGGGCAGGACCGCTGCTCCGGGGGCCCTGAGACAACGGGAGCTCACTCAGGACCAGCTAGAGGGCTATCAGGTGATAAGAGTGCTACAAAAGCTTCCTTTGCCAGAGAGATGGGCTAGAGAACAGAACCACTGCAAGAGGCCACGAGAAAGACAAGCCTGTGTTGGATAAGGCAGGTGAGGCAGGAAATAAAGAAACCTCGGAGGGTGCTCAGACGCTTGGGAGAGCAGAAAGTAGCATGTCTGGGGTCCAGAGTACCTGCAGTCTCTCACCAGCTGCCCTTGCCCTCCATCCTCATACCAGCTCATGGACTCTCCCGTGTAGACTCGCGTGTTTTTACGCACTGGCCTTCATCAGACATTCACCCCACCATCCCTGGACAACTTCTGCTTGCCCTGTTCTAAGTGTAAATGCAGATGTCCGTGTATGTCTGGACCTCCCCAGTCCGTCTCCATTTATAAGTGTACCTTTGACACCCATATTATAACTGGCCTAACCGTAGACGGGTCACCTTCCAACTGAGACCCAGATCTAGCCGAGGGCCAGCTTAGAGTAAGCAGAAATCCCAGGATGGGTAACGGGCACGGTTAGTTTGGCTTAAGGATGGACAGGAGGTATAAGCAAGGCAGCTATGTGATTCGGGGCAAGCCATTCTCACTCTCCTTAAGTAAAATGAATAATTGTTTCCTTCCCCCTCCCCCACATAGTTACTGTAGATATTAAGTGAACCCGTGTGCATATCAGCACCTCATGTCTGGCCTGTCCTTGGGCTGAGCAGGAGTTTACTCTGATATGCAACAGACGGTGGGTGTGGTGGATGGATGGGTCAGCATGTCAAGGAGACCAGATGCCTGAGAAACACGCAGTGAGTGGACTTTGTTAGAGATTCTGGCCTGGGATTAGAAGCAGCAGGCAAGTGTGGAGGTGGTGGTGGCCAGGGATGACAGACAGAAGAAAAGGAGGCTGAGGCACAGCCTTGAGTTGGCCTGCTGTCTGGACACGCTGCCCAAACGCATCCAAGAAAGGAAGGGAGGGCAAGAAACTCGCTCCCACCAGGAGTTTCGCAGAGGAGGGTGCAAAGAAATGAATGCCAACCAAAGTCAGCGAAAGGACGGCTAATAGCATCTGCCTGGGAGGATGCCCTGAGGCTGCTGGTGACCTTAGTGAGAGTCAACCCTAGTGGAAGCAGCTTCAATTTGGCTGCGCAGAGACCCTGCTGCTTCCAATTTATGAGCATATGGGGCCAAGAGAGCAGTAACAGGTGACCTTTTGGGTCTGACCATGAAGGGACAGGGAGAGGATGCTACCTGGAGAAATGAAGTAGGTTCGAGGAAAGATTAATTTTAGAATGAAAACCTGGACCTGCAATCTGGCTCACAGGACAGGAAATAGCTGTCCGGGTGGCAGCTGTGTAAGGCAGGAGTGAAGGACAGGAGGAAAAGGACTAAGGGGTGCCCAGGAATGGAGAGAAGCAGACTGGAAAAAGAACCTCAAGGCTGTCTTCCCACGGCACGTCTCTGAGTGGAAGAACAAACTCAGATCCATAAACAAAATGGCATCCTTGAACTCCGCAGAGAGAGATGGGGTCCTCCAAACCCTGAAGCCGCCCACCCCAGCCCAGCCATCCCAACCCCAAAGCGGTCCCTCAGCCCAGCCATACCTACAGATTTGGTCCGTGGAATCCCCTTCCGCAGAGAGCCCGGCAGCTTCTCTGGGCCTGGGAGGCCCTGGCGCTCAAACAATGACTGTGGGGTCAGGGAGGAACATGGAAGTTCCGGGGCTCTGGAGCACCCAGTTCTCCATCCAGCCCCACCCATCCTAAGCTAGACTGGACACCCACACACCAGATACCCCAAAGGTACTGGTGCCCATGCTCACTTGAGGCCTTCATTGTATGGGTGGTGAAATGAACACAGAAGTACAGGCCCTGGGCATCTGAATAGAAAGGGAGGAACAGTCCACAGTGCCAGGTGGGCTATGGATGCCTTCTAAACAGGCATATGCTGTGCCATAGGCTCAGTAGAGTTGTGGACCTTAGTAGTCCCAGGGTGACACCGAATCTGACTGAGGTCAGAGGCACTAAAAGCTGCAATCATAGAAGCGAGCTGAACTAGATACAACCATTCTACAGACTGAGACGATCCCACGTGTCTCCCAGAGAGGCCCTGGAGAGCTCTGCCTCCTCTGGAGAAGGGATCCAAATAAAGAACTCTTACCTCAAAAGAGAGGCGCATGACCCTCTGATCCCCAGGCCCTGGACCTGACCATCCCAGAGCCCTGGCCCAAGGCTGGCTTACGCTGATCTCGGCAGGGGTAATCCTCCGACTGGTGGGCCGCTGCTTGACAGTGGCTGCCCTGGAGTCAGCATCTGCAATGTCTGGCCTCAGGGTCGGCTCCGCAGCAACTGCCAGGATCTCATCCAACTTTTCTGCACAACCAAAGAGATGCAACCTCAGCCCCAGAGGCGCCTTGGCCTCACCGCCACACCCACCAATGCCAGCCCCAGGGCACTAACGAGTCAACGAATCCTGCCCACCCCTAGGTCTCTCACTGCCTGAGGCCCTAAGATCTTGGATCCCATCAGTGCCCCCTCAGACCTCAGGACCCAGTTCCTGAACCAGCCAAAGTCTGTCCTTAAGGAGACCCTGGGTATCTCTGTGGCCACTTGGAGTGACCACAATGACCGGCCATAAGGAGCAGACTCGGAGAGAGACCACTTAGATGTATTCCCTCGGTCTTTCACCTCTCCTTTTTGCCCACTGCCTTTAAAATCTTGGTGCATGGCCTATCCACTCCCCACGAGAAGCTACTTCTAGTGGGACTACTTCCCCAGGGACAGATACTAATGTTCAAGCAAGAGATACCGAATGAGTGATTAATCTGATAACCAAGGAATGAACAGACCTATGGGAAGTTCCTCCTAAGAACTAAACCTGTGCTGGGGATCTAAGAGTGGCCTGATACAAAACAGGAGGCCACAGCTCCTTCCTCCTTGCCCACACAGAAGGATGGCTCCAGTAGGATGGGAGCTGAGGAAAGAGGAGAAGTAGGTGTGGCGTCGAAAGGACTCTCCTCGCAGAGAGCCTACCCACCCAAACTCCTCAGACTTCAGCTCCATTTAAGGCTGATGCCTAAGAAGGGCTTGGTTGAGAGACACCAGGCAGCCTCAGGCATAGTCTTGTCATATCCGTTATGAAATGAAAAGCTTTGTGTAGTCAAATTTTATTAAGGCAACCTTTTTCTTAAAAAAAAAAAATGGGACTTTGGGGGCTGTGGAGACAGCTCAGCAAGGAACGAGCTTGCTACCTAAGCACTAAGGCCTGAGTTCAGATGCCCAGCACCCACGTCAAAGCTGAGTCTGGGAGTGCACGCCTGTAACCTCAGAGCCAGGAGGGAGACACATCGGTCTTCTGCTCCCGCTGTCAACTCGACACAGAATTCAGAATCACCCAGGAGACGTGCCTCCAGACACACCTGTGAGGGATCCTTGACAACGTGAACTGATGTGGGAAGGCCCATCCTAAAACGGGTGGCACCATTTCCTGAGCTTGGGTCCCAAACTGCTTAAAAGTTGGGGGGGAAAGCTGGGCGGTAGTGCAGCTTTTAATCCCAGCACTCAGGAGGCAGAGGCAGGCGGATCTCTGTGAGTTCAAGACCAGCCTGGTCTACAGAGCAAGTTCCAGGACAGCCTCCAAAGCTACAGAGAAACTCCATTCAAAAAAAGGGGGGGGGGGGGGCGGCGGGGACCAGCTTAGCAAGAATATTCATCATTCTTCTCTCAACTAGGGATGGAAAAGATCTCAAGCTGGAAGCCAAATAAATCCTTCCTTCCTCAAGCATTTTATTTCACAGTACTTTATCCTCCCAGCAGGGAACGTGGTTGAACAATCCTGTAATCCCATTCTTTGAGAGACTGAAGCAAGATTACAAGTCTGAGATCAGACTGAACCACAAGAGAAAATCATTTCCGCGGGAGGAAGGGGTCTCTGACGGCTGTGTGAGATGTGGCTATGCAATGCCTACCCAGAGTCCACTCAGGGCCAGTGTTCGGGTGCACACTGGAGGCCAGGGGCACTGCTTTATGTGCCTATCCTCACTCAGCGCCCTCAGGCTCCACCTGTCTCCAGACCATATTCCAGACCTGAAGGCTGAGTCTGGTAGTGCATGCCTATAACCCCGGCACTAGGAAACAGAGGTATATAGGTCCTAGGGACTCATTGGCCACCCAGTCTAGTCCCATCTTCAGGGGACACGTGTCCTAGACACCCTTCTACGCTCAAAGAACCACTGCTGAAGAACTCCTATGCCAGTCTGAACCTCCTATTCTTTCCAAACCTAAGCCCCAGCACCTACTGTTGCTATCTAACAACAATTGCTGGGTAGGAGCAAATTAACTCCTAAGATGGTCTTATTAAGTAGCATATTGAGACCCCCACCTTGCAGATGGACTCTGTTCAGATGTATGCCCTCTGAGCCCCAGTGCTTTCACCTAATAAAACAATCAGAAACGGCACCTATGTGGCATAGGTCTAGGGGAGATCAGCACCAAGGAGAGCCTAGGCCACTCTAGCCGATGCAGACCACACGGACCAACGCAGATGCTGAAGACACAGTCAGGACATTTACCTTATCTTCATCGAAAATTTGTGGGTTCCTCATAAAGAAAACACTTTGCCCCTTTGGAGCCCTGAACAACACAGCACTTTGCCAACAAAACATGCTCCCACTGTAGAGAAGTGTGTAGGGGCCCAAGCAAGGCTTCTGGTACCACCAGGTAACAGTATAGAGACCACAGAGGCAAAAGTTCTCATTGGTCTTTGCAATGAAATGAGCTCTGATAGGCAGAATCACTACCCCGGCCAAGTCCTCGATGATATACAATATTGCTGAGTTTTACATGACTGCCATAGTAACCACCTCAAGATGCTGCCTTCGTCCTCCTGTTTCCCAGGAGCAAAAGGATGCACAAAGAGCACTCCCCTTATCACAGACCCTTGCTGCCACACCATCCAGAAACGGCAGAAGCCAAGACATAAGTGGAATCAGAAGTCCATGACACCGTGGTGACGTGTCCTACCAAGGTACACTGTCATCTGAGCCACGGATTAGAGAATATGTGTCTCTTAACTAAAAAATTCAACAGAGCCTGGCCCAAGAGATCCAAGCAGTCAGTGCACACACAGTTTAACACAGCAGCAGTTTAGGGTTATGCTGCAACAGTGCTGAGGCCCGGCAAGAACTGTTTCCAAGAGAAAGAATTTAGGAATTCTGCATATGAAAAGTTGGACACTTTTTTCCCAACATAAACCCACAACAAAATTAGAAAACCTAATCCTAAATTATTTTAGTTTTTTTTTTTTTGGTTTTTCAAGGCAGGGTTTCTCTGTAGTTGATATTTTAAAAATGAAATAAAATCCCTTAAGAACCAAGTATAATTATTTCCACCAGCCTTCCAAGCGGCCAGCCATGTGGGAAAGTATGTTGGGAACCCAAGCAGGGATGAAAAGAAGGGCCTACGGAAGTGACAATCAGCCATTTCCCCCAGAGCTGGAAGAAGTGCATGGCCACAGTCTAGCATCCCAGGAGCTAGAACGCAGATCTTAGCAAGAGGAGACTGGCGGTCGGGTGGGGGGAATATACGGATCATATGCTGAGAGCTATAGCGTTCCCTCGCCCGGGCAAAGCCCAGTGCATCAGAAGTAGAGGAGAAGGGATGCTGGATGCCCAAATCCACACACCGTGGGTTATAAGCATATCTGAGGCTGATTCCCATCCACTCAAGAGGCAGAGGAAGCAACAGAAGCTGGCGTAGATGTCCCCAGATGCTGGACCTCAGAACCCACTTAGGCCCTAGTGTCTCTGGCCCCACATGGACCCTGTGTTCCATGCATATGAGAAGGAGCCTCAAAGGACACAGGGGTGGAACCTGAAGAGGGGATAGTGAAGTCAATAGACTGGGGAGTGGGGGTGAGGGTTCTAAGCAAGGGAGTCCAGCTCCCTTCTCAATGCCAACAGATTCAAACCCCTATTCTAAAGCAGTTCTGCTCTGGGCTCAATCCTATAACTCATCAGCATGAAGCCGGCCTAGGCAAAGAAAAGGACAAAAGATACAGCACAAGGCATAGCCTAAAACCCCAATAGCACCGTTCTAACATAGCCTAGGCTCCTGGCTGCCCTGAGTTCCATGCCCTGACCCTCACAAACCATCCCCTCCCCACTCCGGGTCATGTTATTTGCAGGGGCCCCCACCGGGGATTCTCCCACCTTCTCCCCACCAGACTATCTCCATAGGTCACATCCCCAAGCTCACCTGAACCCACAAGGACTATGGTGGTACCCGCTACTAATCCCAGTGATACCCCTGGGAACTCCCCATCCATCCTTCCAAGGTCCTTCACCTCATCCCTACCAAATCCCCAGGCAGGAACAAGAGAGTGTGCCAGATTCCAGACCACTCTGACTTGGACTGGAGCCTCATCACATGCCAGCACCCTTTGGCAGGGACAGGCAAGCCAGGCCTAAGAACATAGTAGGAGACTTACCCCCTTTCCTTCTCCGAATGGAAGCTTGGAATTGAGAAACAGGGCAAAGGAAGTAAGAGGAAGGCCGTATTCCGTGGCACCTAGACCATTTGCACAATGGTTTCCCCACCCCATTCTCCCTACCCCCACCTCCCAACAACCAGGCCTTCATGGGTCTGTCCCCATCTATACCTCCTTCTTAGGCCAGGAGCACAAGCCTACCAATGCTCTAACACTCTAGAAGAGAACAAGCAAAAGCAGGAATACACACTGTGTGTCCATGCACACTCATACACATGCACACGCCCATGTGCCCATGCACACACAAAGATGTGCACAATTAAGCTGTACTTGGAGCAGCCAAATGTTTGTTCAGAATGAAGATACATAACTATAAAAAACGAAGCTCAGAGTCTGCGATTAACTGAAGGGGTCACCTATGAGCACTCTGTACTGAGACTTCGGTTGTATTTTGTTTTTTGCGGTACTGCAGGGGGAACTCAGGGCCTTGAGCATGCTGGGCAAGCACTCGCTACTGACACCTTCATACTCCAGAGCAGGCTGCTAGCAACAAGCAGATATGAACAGCAAAGCACACAGTAAAGACATCTTTTCTAGTCTAAGGCAGCAGCAGGGACCTACCCAGACTTCATCACAAAAGAAAGACCCAGAAATTAAGGGAAGTCTTAATTTCCCCTAAATAAATGAACAGGAACAGTCTGATTACACTAGGGCCCAGACACGGGTCCCCATTAACCCGTGTCCGAGTCACGCTGAGCATGTATGTACAAGGCAGAGTCCCAGACTAGAATGAGAGTGGAGGGATTATCTATGCCTCGATCCTTCCCCACCCCCGACTATTATAAACAACTCTCTCTTTCTGAGACAGGATTCTGCTACACAGGCTAGGTTGACCTTAAACTCACTCTGTAGCCCACACAGGCCTGGAACTCGCAGAAATCCTCCCGCCTCAACCTCCTGAGTGATAGGGATGTGCCACACCACAGAGTTCTCCCACTGACTTCTGCCAGCCACCACCAGTTTCGTTTTATTTAATTAATTTATTTAATTTTGGATCAGCCTCTGCTCGCTCCATTAGTTCCCGGGGAACTCACCCCTCTTCTTCCTCCTGCCTTGCCTCGCCTCACCCTCTACACGGCATGAGCCTCCACCTCTGCACCCACATCCCCCTCACCTCACACTGCTTTTTCTTTTCAGTTCAGGCCATTGGTCTGATAAACACGACTCCTAAAGGGATCCATCAGGGAGTGGCAGGACAGACAGGCTTATAACAGTGCTGACTCAGCACGTCTTATTTCCACCTTTTAAAAACACAAACAACGCCAGGTCTGGTAGTGTATGCCTGTAATCCCAGAACTCAGGAGGCACAGGCAATCCAACAGCAGCCTAGGTTACAGAATAACTCTGTCTCAAACAAACAGAAAGAGCAAACACCGGATTGTGGGATGTTCTGTTGGGTACTTGGAGAACTCTATGTTGGTTGGTCTGGTTTCTTCAAATCAGGCATGTCCAGAAGGACCAGATTACCTCCTAAGATAGGTGTCATGGTGTCAGGGCAGCTCACTGGGTCCCTGACTGTTGGGTCTTTCTCTCAACACAGCCCAATTCTGAACCTGGTTCCAGGTTCAATAACTATGATCTTGGGCCCAGAAGTGCAGGCAGAGGCTCCTGCTGAATGGTCCCCACACCTCTTCCAGACCCTACTCAGAAATATGATACCCTGCTCCCTGGTCCACCAAGGTCTATAATAACTGGAATGACCTTCTCCCGAGGCTTCAGGACAGAGGGGAAGACTCGACTCTTCCGCTCCCATTTCTACAGGCAAAAGCCATAGCCAGACGGAGTGCTTCCACTCTCTCGGGGATGCCTCTCGGTTCCTGCAGTGCAGAGTTCAGGATGAATAACACCTCTTTGTGCAAAGCAGGAAGGGCCTCTCTGGCCTGGTTATGGAACAGCTTCTAGCGAGAGACTGCAGGACCATGCATTAATGTCCAGGCAGACCCAACTGTCTGCTCATACTAGGGTACAGACCCATGTCATGGATCTGCTCTCTTAATATCCGCACCCCACTTCTCACCACCTTCTACCTTCCATCATAACTGATGAAAGTCAGAAAGCAAGCCACCACTCACGTCGAAGCCAACGGGCGCCCTCTACTGGCTCGGGTAACATCTTTCTGCTTTTCTATGGTAGTCTAAAGTTTGACTCTGACAGATCGTATTTATTTGTGACATATTTCTCCAGAATGGAGTCTCACATTTCCGTTAACTTTGGGGAAATCCTTAGCCCTTCTATTTTTCTCCTTTGGAATTCCTATCATGTAGATGTTGAGGTCTTCTCACCTGTCCTCACGGCCCCTGACTGGTTCTTGATGCTCTACCTCATCTGCTTCCTAAGCCGATGCTGGGTAGGCTCTGCCTGATCTTCTTACTCACTGCTATGCCTTTTAGGGAGTCCTGGGTCCTGTGTAACCAAGCTGCAGACCCTTCTCATCTGTGGCTGTTTGTTTGCTTGTTTCAATAAGTTAAGGATTCCCAAACATGCTATTATTGTTGTTCCTCTTACCCTGTTAATTTCATTAACTCTGTTGGTTTCCTTGCCTTTATAGTAACTTAAACCTCTCATACTCTCTATGAGAACATAGAACATATCTCTAGTTCTTTTTAAATTTTGTTTTAGATTTTTCTATTTTGAATTATAGTAACTTAAACCTCTCATACTCTTATCTCTAGTTCTTTTTAATTTTTTTTTTAGATTTTTCTATTTTGAATGTATGTGTGCATAAATGTGCATGCAACACATTCATGCCTGGTGCCCCCTCCCTGCCCAGAGGTCAGATGGGCTGGATCCACGAGAACTGGAGTACGACAGAAGGCCATGAGCCACCATGTGAGTCCTGGGAACCAAACCAGGGTCCTCTGCAAGAGCCACAAGTGCTCTAAGTGCTGAGCCATCACTGCAGCCCCTCCAGTTCATTTTCTGCTAACCCCAGTGCCTGTGGCTGTCTCTGGCTTTCCCAAGTCCACAGCACACCTTCCAGCCTTGGTGAGAATCTCTATCAGGAGTTGGAAGCACCAGTTTCCCACTCCTCTGGCTCTGATTTCTTGCTTTACTCCTGAAGCAAGAGCATCCCTCCTCCTTAACACTGTCTGTAGTTTGTATTTATTTCATCCAGAGTTTTAGCATGGGAAATCTTGATCATGTCAGCCCATTCTATCTCTTGGTAACTGTTTTCCAAACTTCAGTCAAGGCACCTTCTTAGAATGTGGCAGCTCGGCCTACAGCTGGGACATGGTCGGCAAAGACAGGGGTCGTTCTGGGAGCCAGGATTAAGGTTTCCTTTTATGACTGAAGTCAGAGGAAAGTCTAGGATTGAGACTAGGCTCAAACCACAGAAGCAAAGAGTGCTTCAACCTACCACATGTGTTGGAATACACCTACCATGAAACTATTAACCAATAACCACCCACAATAAGGCTCTCAATAGTCAAAGATATTAGCACATGCCCACAATGACAATAAAAAAATCACATACATCAGCACATGCCGAGGATGAGACTGACAACAGTCCTATGTGTCAAGATGTGATCATGCATATAGGACATACCTATGACGAGGCTGGTAAATGTCACATGTCAGGACATGGCTGTGAATATGAGACATGTCCATGACAAGGTTAACTGGCATATGTGTCAAGATACAGTCACGCATATGAAACATGCCCATGACAAGGCTGGTAACTGCTATACTTGTCAAGATGTGGTGGTCATGTACATGGGACATGTCCATGATGAGTCTGGTTACACTGCAGTCATGTACATGACACTGGAAACTGCCATACATGTGCACATGCATATAGGATGTGTTATGCATATGGAACATGGCCAGGAGAAAGCTGGTAACTGTCATAGGCCAGGATGGGGTCATGTATACCAGGACATGCCCACGATGAGGCTGTTTGTAGTCAACCTGGGACTGTATCCCTCAAAGTCTCACATACTTTGGTCCGCCCCCCACAGTCCACCAGGCCCCATCTCCTCACTGTGTTAGAGGTGCTTACAATGCCTCTGTTTAGTCAGTAGACTCAATTGGCAGATAAGTGAACAGGTACCAACCGAGTAAAAGAAACACAAATAGGACCCAGCTCATGCCAGTCCGATCCAGGAGCAGACTCTAGGTTGCCCTACCACCGCTCTTTGCCAGCTAGGTTGAAATGCAAGAGCAAAGTCTTAGTGTAAAAAGCACAGAGCCAGGGAAAGCACTCACACACATGCATGTGCATGCATGCGGGCATGCTACAGGGCCAGACCTTGTTCCCCAGCCATCTGTCCTGGTTGTCCCTGCCCAACTCCAGCTCCTCTTGCTGCCCCGAGTTCTCATCTCCTCACTTGCTGCCGCGTTCCACGTCACACAAGTACCCAGTTTCCCCATATCCCTCCAGTCCATACCCTAACTACTGATCTGTCTCGGCAACCATCTGTCTGTTCTTCCTTCTGTCTCCACCTGGCCTGAGCTCCAGTTTGGCACCACGACCCTCCCGAACTGCCTGTGCCCATTCCACTTTGGCCAGCCCACTGCAGACCATCCACCCATGGTCCACCCGCAAGCTCACCGAGTTCTTCAAGTTCAGCCGTCATGGACTTGGAGCGCAGGGTCAGCGTGGTGCTGGGGGCCCTCTTGGGGGGTGGTGGGGCTGCAAAGAAGAGGGAGGCCTTGGCCCTCCTGTCCAGCAGCAGGCGGCGCGGCGTGGCCAGGTGCAAGTGCCACTTGCGCTCCACCGCCTGGATTTCCTCGTACTCCCTTGAAGACGAGTCACACTGTGCCAAGATCTTGTTCAGGCTGCGGCTAGATGCAAACTTCTTCATGGCGTGAGGCGCTCAGGGAGCAGTGGAGCCAGGGCAGTTGGGCCCCCAGGGCCCTTAAGATTCCCAGGGCCAAGGCCTCAAATGGTGGTAGTAAGAGTACCAGCAGACGTTAGGAGGCTGGCTGGTTCTGATCTGAGCATCCACCCTGCGGGCTCCAAGGCCCCAGTGAGTGGGCACCACCCATGGGGGGCTGGGTGGATCTCCTGCCAGACTACCTCCTGCTGCCTAAAGCACCCCAGGCCCAGGTACCACTGCTCTTTATGAGACCAGTGTGGCCTGGCGAGCCACACACCTGGGCCGGGCCAGCGGTAAAGCCTCTTAGGCCCAGGCTGTGCCGCGTCTTTGGCGTCGGCGCGGGGAGAAGACGCTTTTCCTCTTCCCTCAGGTGCCGCCTCCCCCTTCCCTGCACAATAAGCAGCAGCAGCAGCAGCGTCAACCTCACAGTTGCCATGACAACCCGGCCTCCAGGCAGCTGCTGGCGTTGGGAAGGAGGGCTCTGCCACACCAGGGCTGGGGGATTCACAGAAGAAGAGGACAGGGATCTGAGGTGGGGGAATCAAGGATAAGGGTCAGAGGCCTGGTCAGGAGGGTCAGGCATCATCTGACATCAAGGACCTGCGCAGCAAATGAGGGCATCTCAGCTCAGCTCAGGCAGAAATGGGATGTCAGCAATGTGGGATCAGAGAAGGGGAGAGGAATGTGGGCCTGAAGTTAAAGGGCTAGGGCCAAGTGCCAGGGGCAAAACCTGACGGACAGCAGTCTGAACTCACCTCTGCGCCGAGCACCATCCTCTTCGGGTTTCCTGGTCACAGACACGACTTTCATGACCAGGCGGTTGCCGCCCTGACGGATGAGACCCACTACTTGCTTGTGCCCGACCTTCACGACGTTCACTCCATTCACCTGGGACAGACAAACAGCTAGGAAGTGTATCCGAGTGTCACCCACCTCAGAGCTCAGGAGATAGGAACGCCCTCCCCTCCTGCTGGGCAAGGACAGCTGCGGGGGGGGGGGGGGGGCCTCACCTCGATGAGGAAGTCCCCAGTTCGAAGCCCGGCCCTCCAGGCCACACCTTCCACATCTACAGACTCCAGGTACTGGAGTGCAGGGAAGGCGGGTGTGGGTGTAAATTCCTCAATGGGGGTCTCTGCTGCAGGGAGAGGAAGAGAAAGGGCACTCATAGGCATAGCTCGTGACAGCTCCACAAGGCAACCTCGGCCAGCTCGAGGCACCTGACTACTCGGGCACAGAAACCTGGGGTGGGGTGGGGTGGGGTGGGCAGCAGATGGGGATACCCAAACCAGTGTACATCCCTCTGTGAAGTCCCCCATTTGCCCTCATCAAATAGATCTCTACTCTCTTAGACTCCCCACAACTGAATGGGAAGCAACAGAGAGGGACCTGCGGCCTTGTCCTGGGACATTCCAAATCAAGACATACAACCATGAGACAGGGGCGGGGGGCTTAAAAAAGGGGAGAAAGGGGCAGGGCATACTAGACATCACCAGCAATGCAGTACCCTCCTCATGGCTTTGGCTCCCATTACCTTTGGCTCCCCGGAGAACGAAGCCAAAACCCTCATGGTCCCGTTTTTGCAGGATAGCCACCTTGTCATCAATGACATAATCACTGACAGAGGAAAGCAAGGTTGAGTGAGGGGAGCCCGGAGGGAGCCTAGCCGAGAGGCTGACCCTACAGGGTCCCACACGCACGGTCAACTTAGAACAAGAAAGACAGAGGTAGCTAACCACCCACTCCTCGCCCACCTCCCACCTCCATACACCCTGACGTCCCCTCTCATAGGATAATACTAGGTCCAGCCAGTGTCCCCGTGTGTCCACACCCCTGCCGATACCTGTGTGACGTGAGGCTGTCATAGGAACCCACAGTGTAGTGACGGAAGAGACGTTTTGTCCGGTCTTCTCGGGTTTCTGGAGGGAGCAGCAAGGGCCAAGAAATGATCATGGCTTCTACCTAGCTGAATCTCCCCAAACTGCACTGATCAGTCTGTGTCCCCATACACTCCGATGCGGAGATGCAATGGGGAGCGGATGAGGAAAAATTCTGGGGCTCAAGGACCAAAAGTCCTAAGGTAGGAAGGCTCAGATAATCATACAGGGAATTCTGGCCTCTGGGAGTTAGGGTCTAAGAAGAAAGCAGACCCCCCCCCAACCCCTTAATTAATGTGCAGCTAGACACAGAAAACCATACAAGGCCAGATTGGTCCAGTTAACAGGTCGTATACTGAGAGGACATGGATGTGAACCTCACAGTAAAGTATAAATGCTGTGCTGCTGCTTGTTTGTCTGTCACCCACTCATGTTGTCCAAGTGAGAGCCATATCTGTTGTCTGGACACGACTCCAGTCACTAGTAACAAACACGGGTATGTACAACCCACAGTGTATCCAAGTGTTGGGCTCAGGCATATGTACGTGTCTGGGTTGTGAGCGTATGTGCACCCGTGGGGAAGCACCCCAGCGTGTCCACTAGTTCCCTCACAACAGCAAGGTAGACAAATTCAAGGAATGAGGGAAGGGATGACAAAAAGCTCTGCCCCTACCCTGACTTCACTGTATTCCAATGAGCTATATTAATAGAATAATTAATAACTACAACAGTAACTATGTTAATATCACCGTCTCCCATAGGACTGTATTAATAAATTCCGCAGAATATGTTAATATGCCCTTTGATCTCAAAGCTCTTCACAGACACCATGGAGTTGGTCAGCACATACCTCCCGCTGGCCCTCACTTAGCCTTGCAATCTACAACAGATTCAAGGTTCAGAATGGCTCCTCTGGCTCCACCTGCAGTGCCTCAGAAGGCCACGAGATGGCACCACCACTGTTTTCAATTTCATCCTTCAGCACCTCCCTCCTTCAGTCCCCTCTTGCTATAGCACCTCTCAAGACTCAATTTTTCACTTCAACATCCATTCACTAAGCCTCTACTACATACCAGGCACTGTTTACTCTAGAACAGAGCAAAGTCCCTGCCTTTGAGGAGTTAATAAGCTACCCCGAGAAATGGAATAAACACGCAATAAATATAACGTGCTAGCTAACGGGAAAAACGCAAGCAGGAAAGGGGTGTGAAAATACAGTTCTAGGGGCAGCGAAGGCCTCAGCAGAAAGAAGAGCTGAGCAGAGGTCCAGACAGTCGAGGGAGCAGCCTGCAGGTAGGAGGGTGAGGCAGCCAAGGAAAAGTTCATGCACATGGCATTAATCTGGAGCAGGCAGGAACAGTGTGGAGCCGATGCAGGAGGAGCAGAGGGAGGCACACTGACAGAAAACGAGATCAGAGGGAACCTGTGTGTTTCTCAGTTAGGTTCTCTATCGTCTTGGGTTTTAAAAAGATTTTTGTTTGTTTTTACTTTATGTATTTCCCTGCATGTATATGTGTGTACCACATAGATGCCTGGGGCACTCAGAGGCCAGAAGAGGGAGCCAGATCCTCTGGATATAATGTGGGTAACTGGGTACCAGAGTCTTACAGCACCCTGTTTTGAAAAACTTTTTTTTTTTCTGAGACAAGATCTCACCACATACAGCCTGAGCCTTGAACTCAGGAATATCTGTCTTAGCCTTCTGTGGGCCAGAGTTTCAGGCATGAGCCTCCATACCCAGCAAAAACACAGAGATTTTTTTATGACCTGGTTTCTCAATAATTGTGAGCTCATCCTTAAAGCAAAACATGAGACGTAATTACTCCCGGGGTCCCAAGAGTTCAACACAGCACCTGGCATAGAACAGGTGGAACACAACTGGCCAGGTGAGTGGGTGACTGTGTTGATGCATGGACGAACGGATGGACAACACATAAGATAATGCAAAATGCATATGACTGGATGAGTTGATGAAGGCTTGAGGGAATATATGGATGGGTCAAAAGATGGATGGATGGATGGACGGACGGACGGACGGACGGACAAATGGACGGACGGACAGACGGATGGACGAATGGACGGACGGACGGACGGACGGACGGACGGACGGACGGACGGGAGGGATATGTGGGTGGAGAAAAGGGGGAGCTGAGGGCTGGGTAGTTTGCTGGATAAGTGGGTGGATAAACAGATGAGTCAATGAGCTAAAAGACAAACGGACACAGACAGGAATGGAGCAATGATTGGGTGATCTTCACATCAGACGACACGGCTATCAGGAAAAGTACTGGTCCAGACTTCAGGTCCCTGGCACTATGTGTGAAACTCTCAATACGTGAGCTGTTCTACCTGAACCTCTCTTGACACGGCAGGAAGGGCCGGCTTGGAAGCCCGCGGGTTCAAATAGCCTGTTACATTCTAGCCGCGTGAGCTTGCTTCCTTCCTGCATCTGTCCTACTCTAAGTGACAAACACACCCTGCCACCCATCCCCAAGGCTAGTGCAGATGAAGCCTCACCCTCAAACAATCAGGGCCTTAAGTTCCGATCACCAGCATGTCCTTCTTCAAGCTGACCCAGGCACACAGATGCTATGCTAGCTGAACCGTATCTGGGAGCCCTGCGGTGGCCAGGAAGCCCCAGGTCCCACCAGTCTCTCACCAGCTCCTCTGCAGCCTGCATCCTTCTTTGTGACTTTGGCTAACCCTCCCCCACCCCTCTGCTCTGCCCTACCCAGATCCTACCCCTGACCCTAAGAGATAAGCACAGTGGAGCAGCCCTATCCTGGTCAGCTGCTATTGCACAGCCTCCTGTTTTGCACATCTTCATCAACCAAACAAACTATTTATTATATAACACAAATTCATGTTCTGCTTTTATTAATCACACACGGGAAAGCTGGCTGAAAGGAATATGCCCAGCACCAGCTCCCAAGTGGAACATTCTGGAAGGGAAAAGGCAGACAGCATGGGAAAGTATGTTAGGCCTCGAGATCCTTGCGCTCACTGGCCTCAGCATTTCCGGTTATAGAGTTACAGGAGGCTATCTCCTCGGCTCATGCCGACCTAACCTATGCACCTCAGCACCTGTCCTTGGTCCTTGGTCTTTAAAAGTCCCTCACTCCACTCTGGTTCCTGAATTAGAGTTGGGGCGGGGGTGTTAGAAACAGGTTCCTGTTGGTAGGGTGCCCTCTGCTCTCTGGTGCAACTCAGCCTAAATCCCAGACAAGTTCTTCCTAGATCAGCAAGACGGGCGTTGTAGCTGGGGTCGGAGGAAGGCTACAACTGCTCCTACCCCCTCCCAGAAGCAGCCATTGCAAAGCCTGCAAATGTGGCTCCTGTCCCCTTAGGTACTTTTGAATCCCACTCCCTCAGGTCATCTGTGACAGCTGCGGCCCTGCTAAGGAGTCCTGTGCTGGCTAGAAAACTCCCCTACTCTCCTCGTGATCCTCTCCTTTCTCCGTGACCTTGACACTCCCTACTCTCCCATCTGCCTTGTCCAGATCTTGATCTTCACCCTAAAATATCTGCTCAGTTAGCTCCTACTACAAGATTACTCTTTATCTTGACCCCAAGAACAGGTCACGAGGCTCATGCCCCCCACTCCGGCTGTGCCGTGCCTCACAAAGCTAACTGCTGGCACAGCAAAATAAAAACAATTAAACATCCCTGCCCCTTGCAGTTAATGATGTCCTGGAAACATACTGACCGCTGGCCCCACCTCCCAAGATCGCTAGGATACGTATGCAACTTCATTCATATAAAAAAACACTAAAATCATGGCTGGCACTGCTCAGATACAGACGTTGGCAACGGGCACAGTTCTAAAACACTGTGTTGGATCCCTATAAACATGGAGGACCCACCTGCAAACTACCCAGAGAATTCAGCCTAAACAACACCTCTGTTTTGAAGTCCTCTTTGACTTCCTCGGGCTAACACTCTGGATCACCCACTCTCAACGGCCTATGCCCGGAGCGGGGTGGGGGGTGGGGGGGAGTGGACGGGACACTTGCCATAGCCACAAAGAGCCAGCATAAGGTCCAGCTTGGAGAGAAACGGACAAATATCCACCCCTCTTGAAGCCTGACTCCAACTCTCCCTCCTGAGCTGCAAACCAAATGTTCCTGGAGCCACGGTTCTCCGAACCGTATCCTCATCCTTACGGGAAGGCACAAGACTAGCTCCTATTCAACAGGTGTGCAGCCCCTCTCCTATCCCTCGTCCCTTTCTCTGTCCTGTTGGAACGAGGATCCAAACCTCTGAGATCATTTTCACCTGGATCCCACTCCGTCTGCTCTGCACAGACTGTGACTAAGTGAAGCTACCCCCTTCCATACTCCCAGTCACTAGCACAGAGAAAGCAAGGCAGCAGGCCAGTAACTGAGCTCCCGTGTAACCGAGGCATCCGTCAAGTGTGACACTGAGTCAAGGCTCCTGGCCACATGGTGGTGGGCTCCCCTGGGAAACTGCCAACTTAAGGTAGAGGCTCTACAACCCAGGGCCCAAACCCTCTATGTACAGAGAAAGGGACACATGTACACCGCCGATCCAGACATACCACTGATAACCATCCCGGACCACCACTTAGGAGGAGTGTCATATTCCCCCTAATATGTCAACTGTCATACTCACTGTCTGGACCGGAAATAATATCATTGATCGTGAGGCCTCCCAGCATACCTGAGGACTCAATTAAGGGGTATACCCTGGACGTGTAACCAGCCCACATGGGTGTTCCAGAGGACCAGCCACTGCTTCACTAACGCCTAAAGGGATCCTTCCTAGAAGTCCAAGTGTTCAGCAGATTGGGCCATAGCTGCTCAGCAGCCCCAGAAGTCGCAGTCCTCACCTTCCCAGTTCTTTAAGAACAGGGGCTATCCTTCACCAGTTAGCTTCCCTGAGACCTTATCAACCTCAGGGGACCCCAAATGACTCCTTGGAGCCCAACTGGCCTCATTTCCTCTTAGCTGGCCCAGGCCTCCTGCTCTGCCCACTTGGACAATCTGTCCACTTTGGAAAAGCGCCTCTTTTCTCGCATTGACCTCCTTACGTATCTACCAGCCGCTCGTGATCGGGAGCTGTAAGAACCTGGGATTTCTGTGAAGGCTGTACCAGGGCCAGAGGGGTGGTCACCATCCCTGGACACTCAAGGGCCCCCGCGTGGACAGAAGATACCCATGAGTGCCTCCCTCCTGTTGGCATGGCACAGGTTCTCCACTGTGGTCGGGTTCACACACATTCATGTTCCTGAGGACACGCAGGCTTACCCACAGTGTGTATGTGCAAATCTGTATGTACCATGAGTGTAACTGAGTTAACTCCGCGGTCTTAGCGAACATCCATATTTGTTACCAAGAAGACCAAAGGGAGACTAGAAGCGTATGCCCTCTGGGGGCTACCTGGGCAACCCTGGGGTCACTTACCATGCCGAGTGTCATATTGTCGCATCTGCACTTCCTCCACACAGTCAGCTGGGAACCAGCCAGTGCGGCCCTTCACGGTTCCCTCCCAGAAACCGCCCTCCCCAATGCTGAGCACTGGGGAAAGAAGCCAGACAGGTTGTCAGGGCAAAGCAGAGCTGGGGGGCACCCACGTCCCTGCCACCTGAGGCTCAGGTGTGCCCACAGCCCTAACCCTGGCTCCGCTCTCTTCCCAAGCCCACGTCCCCCTAGCCTTGTCCCTGGGAAGATTCTGGGATCCACACGGAAGAGAGAATTGAACAGATGGCCTCAGAAAGGATGGACATGTGGGAGACAGACAGACACAGATGGACACACTTGAGGAGGACAGAGGCAGATGCAGGGGCCACGCTACTGCTCCTGCCCACTGTGACCATGTCCCCCAACCACGGTAACTGACGTCCACCCAAGAGGCACTGCCAAGAGCTCAGGGTCATCGGGAGGCAGGCAGTGGAGTAAGCCACATGATGTACCAGGAGGGCTGATCTTCACAACTACTTCCACCTCAGAGCCACAGTGCCCAAGGTAGGAACCCAATAACGACAGGGGGGCCCCGTGATGAGAGGGACTTGTCTCCCCCAAAACAGGCATCATCCATGGGCACTGTACATGGACAACCACAACTGTTACAGATCCCCGGAAGATGGCAAGCCCCCCTCACCTGTATCCCAAGGATTTCCAATGAAGAAGCCCCAGAGTGACACAGGAACCCCACAAGGCGTGGGAGCTCTATAATGGGTTAGGGTCCTTCCAACACAAGGACCCAGTTGGCATTGGCCCCCATCATAACAAGAACCGCCCCACAAGAGCCAAGGCTCTACCATGACAGAGCTAGAGCTTCATGCCAGGAGCCCAGAAGACCAGGGCCAGAGGCAGAGACCCCGGCACAGCAGCTTGCTGTCACGACCCAGGGACACCCCAACCACAGAGACCCCAAAATGGCATGAACTAGGCCGTGTGCCCCGGGGCCCGCCCCCCACCCCGCTCGCGCCCCTCACCCCGCCCGCCCGCGCCCCTCACCCTTCACG